CCAACCAAAAAAAGAAAACCAAGTTTAGAATTTAAAACACATTTTTTAGTTTTGCGATTATAATTCTATGACATCATTTCTTTCTTCCCTTCTTCCCTTCAAGCCCTCCCACATCCCCTCCCTGCTGTCCTTCAAATTCATGGCCACTTTGTGTGCTTATTATTACTGCCCAACTTACATTTTAAAAATGACACGTGTTTATTCGTGTGTGTGTGTGTGTGTGTGTATGCCACATTTTACTTGTGAATGTCAGAGGACAACTTTTCATGGCTTAACTCTTTTCTTCTGTCCCAGAGACTGAACTCAGGTGATGAGGCTTGGCAGTGGGCATCTTTATCTGCTAAGCCATATTGTTGGCCCCTATAACAAAATTTTTACAAGGGTTCATGTCAGAGAAAAAAATGACCCAAAAATCCAGGTGTTGGGGTAGCAGGGTCTGGTGTGTCTGTGGGGTCTCTCCTGTTGGACAACTAGGTATAAAATGAGTGTAGCGCGCTAGTAAATGCTTTCTTTTGTTTGGTTTTCTTGAGACAGGATTTTGCTGTGTTGCCCAGGCTGGCTTTGACCTTTGATCCTCCTGCCTTAGCTTGCCCAGTGCTGGAATTTCAGGAGGGGACCTCTATGCTTGTTGAGATTTACTCTTTCAGCATTAAGTCTGTTGGAGGTGCTGGTCCACTCTTAGGCTTCATAGGTGTGAGCTCACAGAAATTAGCATTTCAGCCAAGATGTCTAATTTGCTATGTATTCTTTCTTCCTTTGAGAGTACAGCTAAACTAATAGAAATACTGACTGCTCAGCAAACCACGTGGCCTCTTCAAAAGGTCATGAATGTAAAGAAGGCCACAGGATCTAGTTAGCCTGTGCATTAGAAAATTGCTGTAGACAGGATTAGGGGGGTACAGAGGCTGCTTACAATATTTTTAGGAACGAGGGTGAAGGATGCTATTTGTATGCAAAGCAGTCTCATAAAGGAATGATTTTTTTTTAAACTTCACATTTATATAATGACATCTTGTCGCCAGCTGTTCCTGCCCAGCTGGCAACTTAAAGATCTCCTTTTTAGTGTCTTCGATACAGAAATTGCTTAGAATTAGGTTTGCCACTAGGCCTGTTTAATTGGTATTAAAACAAAACACCTCGTTTGCCAGATCTACAGTGGTTTCTGGTTGGAGCTGTGAGTGACCTGCAAATTCCTGCCCTGGAGTGGCTGAGAAAATGCAATTACTTCTCTGTGTCTCCAGAGGCTTTGGGGACTCAACTTAGGAAAAGAATTACTAGCTTGTTGCTATTTCATGTGTGAAATTTTAATGATTTCCTGGCAGTCTAATAGTATTCCTAAAGAAAAAAAAAGATTCAAATAAATCCATTAAGTCCATTTTAGAATTTTTAACTAATAAACCTAATGAGGGTTTTTTTTTTGTAGTCTGCCATTCTCATCCATTGAAATCGATAGATTCCCATTTTTTAAAATAAATATTATTTATGCTCTCTGGGGGGTTTCGTTTTATAATTAGAAGGTTCTGCAAGCCGTATAGGTATGCTCCTGTGTAAACACAGATCGTTTTAGTCCTTAAAGGTAATTACAGCTGACAATAGTAAATGCCAGGATGCTTATTTAAAGACAGGAGGCCTTTCAGCGCAGGAAACCAGACGTTCTCCAAGGTTAGAAGCTCTTCTATAGGCAGCAGATACAAGCCTCGTGTGCTGGACTTAAAGAAATCTGCTTTTAATAAAATGGAGAGAAAATAGAAATCACTGCTAATCTCCACTTGGTGGTCTCTCTTTCCCCCTGGTTGATTGAGGGCATTATTCCTCCAGGGTTGCTTTGCAGCCCTCCTCTCTGTTACAATCAGTTATTCCATAATCATCTTGTGAAGTGCACTGCAGTGCAGGGAATATTCTCCATTAACACGGTGAGATTGCCATGGAGACAGATTGCCTGGTGTCAGCTCTTACACGGTGTTTGGAATTTACAGTCCCTAGACATCGTTGTGAGCTGGACAGCATAGTTACCAGGGTTGCTTCTCGAAGTCATTCCCCTGTCCTTTGAAGGGCAGTGGTGTTTGGAAACCCTTTGGTTCCTCCCTGGGCAGGAGCTGTGCTGCTTTTGCATCTGCATGTGGCTGCTTTGTTCAGCCCCATCTGAATGGCTGTTGGAAAAAAAAATAATCCTGCCTGCCTGACCTTTAGAACATGAACTGGCGAGAGCTTGCTGTTTACATGTAGCTTTGTGGGAGATGTGTTGATGCTTTGATTCAGAGAAGTGCTCATGAGAAACCAGAAAGGCTGCTGTGACTTCCAAACACTGTTTTTATAGTGATAAAAATAACCCTGAAATGGACTTGCATAACTGTCAGGGGCTTTACCTTTTAAAAGACCACTTGGGCACAAAAGTATTTTGAATATTCTAGAAAAATTAATTGAGAGTCAGTACAAATAACAGAACTGCCAAGCATGTGCAGTTGCTAAGTCCTCGGGGAGCAGAGGTAGACTTCAGTCTGTGATGCTGGCTGTGCTCCTGACTTCTACCATCTTCCTGCATCTTCAGGACAATTCCATGATGAAAGGAGCATTGCTTCTTCTTTTTTATGGAAAGCAAATGAAGAGGCTAAGCAGGCTACGTGCCTGTGATTAATTAGACCTGTGAAAATGTGCAGCGTGGCTTCGGGAGCTCATTGCGGCACTGGAGATGTTTATGAGAGTCTAGTGATCATTTTCAAGGGGACCATAGCAGCAGGGTCAGCTTTCTGGACCTCTGTAACCTGGGGCATCATCTACCCCTCAATAATGCTGGTGTCAGAAGAAGACAGCTTTAGGGGGAATCAGATCTGTGTCTTGATTTGAGCAGGTCAATTGTAGGTCATAGGAGTTAGTTTTTCGGCCTCTGCTTGCCCAGATGAATTTAAAAGTGTGTGTGTGTGTGTGTGTGTGTGTGTGTGTGTGTCAGGGGTGGGAAACAGCCCTTAGTTCATCTAGCCTACAGATATCATTGCCTGCCCAGCCATTTGGAACCGAAGCTCGTGGGGAGTACATCTTTTCCAAATGTCGTGGATTTTATCTCTTTCTCTGCAGTGAGTGTCTGTGGATAATATCGTCATGCTTGGAGGATTTCTGGGTCAAATCAGTACAGTTAAAAATTTCACCTTCAGCCTGTTGAAGCAAGAAGGTTAAATTAATAGTGGATTTCTGTATTTCTCAAATTTTACAAACTATTCCTGAAAAATCCAAAATATAACTATATGTAGGACTTTCACAAATGCCAAAGTGTCAGTGTCAGATTCTTAAGTAGAACAGAATTAGAGAGGAAAAAAGAGGTTCTGATATATGCTGTACATTTCCTGAGTTGTTTGAGGGCATATTCTGAATTATCCGTATGGCTAGAAATTATGTCTATATCTTCATCCACCCGCTCACCCGCTTATCTGTCCATTCATCCATCTCGTCATCTATCTTGCTACTCTGATAGCCCATAGGTTTAACAGGCCGTAGAGAATATAGATTCTTTAATTGAATGAAATTCATTCCTCATGCTAACATTGCCGATGAACGTTTTGAGCCAGTGATTGGAGCTGGGTAATATACTGATTTGGTTCAGGTTCAGCTCAGAGGCCACCATGATGTGGTTTTATTTCAGGTCAATAATTTCAGAGAAATGCTCACACATAGTGTGTAGTCCCTTTGAAAAGGGAGCATAGGGGGGCTTTGTTTTCCCTGCAGTGAATCATGGGTTATCTAGGGTGTGCTTCCCTTTGCTGTTTTAAATGGAACTGATACAGAAGTGAAGTCATTGGTGTTAGCTTTACTTACACAGAAGCTCCACACAAGCCTGAAAGCCAGGGCATCCCAGTGTTTTTTGTCTACTGAGATACCGTGCACTGTCTTCAGGTGGGTTCCTGGAGGCATGAAATATACTGTTCACAAAAGAACAGGATATTTCTCAGTTCTTCTTTTTCCCTACTTTTGGCCCAGGGCAGTTTTCTGAAAAATTTTTGCAGAACTGATATTATGAGCTGAGAAGCCGAGTGTGGCCTGAGGTGTTCTGATGCCCAGGGGCTGGAGTGAAGTTGCTGGCTACACTGTGGTGGAGAAGTGTCTGTGGTGGAGGTTTGCTTTCAAATATTCAAGCTGAAAGATGGGATCAGGCTGTGTGGTTTCCATAGAATCTGTTTCCTGCATTCTGTCTTTGCATGGTGATTTCACTGTTGGGGCAGCCCTTGGTCAGCTCGAGATCCACGCCTTTTCCCCTGTCAAATTGAGGAGTGCTTCTTTTGAAGGCCCAGCAGACCCTGCTCGGCAGGCTGAGAAGTGGTGTGTAGATTCTAGATTGGCTGCCTTTTCTTTAACTGGGGCTACCTGACATCACAAGAAATTATTCTATTTGAACTCTCCAGCAGAGCCAATTAATTCAGGCTTCCTGGGGGAGAGTATGGTGGTGGAGCTCGTGATTTTGCAGGGCTGGTACAGTCCTTGTTTAGTGCAGGCTGCCCTGACTTCCATTGGCTCCCAAGAGTCTGAGATTGGGAGGAGTGGAGTCCCACCGCGTTCTGGTTAAACAGTGTTGTTCTGTTCCTTGCTTTGGCTGTTTCTACTAATGACACAGTAACATAATTAATTGGTAATTAGGATGCCTCAGAGGTCTATTTCCCTTTGAATCGGTGACTAGAGAGAATATGATTCTAGTAAGCACTAGTGTATTTCTCCACAAAAGGAAAAACGTATGCAGGAACTCCCAGGCAGTGCTGGGGTTGGATCAGTTGGATTAACTCTGTGACCAGTGCAGCCATTTCATTTCTGCTGTGCATTCTTGGTCTCACAGTGGTCAATTAGCTACACCTTTCTTCCCAAACAGAAAGAATGGACTTTAGCTCTACACAAGGACTTTTTATTGTGCCTGCTGTGTCTTTGTCACTGGGAGTGACTATTTTTAGACGACTTCTTCCTGGAGGGTTGCATGCTTGATCTCTTTAGTTCTCAGCACCCCGCTTGCTGTATTTTCTCAGGGGAAGCCGTGCCCGAGGATGAACAGATCAGCGCCAAGGACCAGAAGAACCTGGAGCCCTGTGACAACACACCCATCATAGATAACATCACGCCTGTTGTTGACGGTATCTCTGCTGAGAAAGAGAAGTATGACGAGGAGATCACCAGTCTGTACCGACAGCTGGATGATAAGGTCTGTGGTTCAGAGCGGGAGCCCTGTCTCTGTGGGCCTGAAAGACTCCGCTCAGCCCCAGTGGGCCAGTTAAACAGATAAGTTATCTCCTAATGGTGAAGAGATAAGAAGAAGATTCAATAAGTGTTGCCACATCAGGGGGAAGAATGTGGAAGGGGCTCTGTGACCCCACCTCTTTAGGGCACAGACCTGAGCATTACATTTAAACAGGGGAGGCATGGGGGAGTGGAGCAGGCAAGAGGTGCACATAATGAAGTCCACTGTCCTGGTCAATGTGTGGTGATTGTCTCAGTTTTGGTTCTATTGGATGCTTCCAAGAAACATGGCTTGTGTGAACATGTCAGTCCCTAGCTTCTGAGTGCTCCCATCTGAAGACTGATCTCACCCTGTGATGACATGTCTCCAAGGCTCTGTTGTTACTGGAATCCAAGGGGACTACAGGTTGAGGTTAGCAACTGCAGACTTTCAGGTACCTTTGAGAGAGTCTGGGACAGGACACTGATTGCAAAGTGCCTCAGTTACTCTTATCCTTGTACTGTCAGCCTGGAAAGGGGAGGATGAGATAGGTTAGGTATTATGGATTTTTAGATAGGCATTCCCTGAGTGATTAATGTGCTTCTCTGCTGAGTTAATCAAGTGTCTGGCACAAAGTAAAGAGCGATACAAACCGAAGATAGATGTGGTAGGCTTTTATCCGGTTTTTCCTTGCCTTGTGGGGTCAGCACTTTGTCAGAAAGCAGCTCCTGTGTGCCTATGGTATACATTAGCCAGAGACTGGTAGTCTTCACTCTGGTATAAAGACTGAAGGTGGCAGGTACAGTCAGCCCCCTGGAGCTGAGGTAGGCTGCAGACCACTATGGATGTGTATCTTCCTGATACCTGTTTTCTAGCTTGATTACTCTAGGAAGTTCTAATCAAAAAGAGCTAAGGGGTTGGTCTAGATAGACAAGTCCTCACTTCCAGAAATCTGCAGAAATTGTTGCAGGAGAAGACAGCTATGTGAGAGTACATGGGTGTTTGTCTCTTTCCTTTCTCCATGTCTCTCCTTTTCTTTGTGGAGAAGTCAACAGTAGACCCACTAGGGGCAAGGTAGGAGACTCCTAAGACTCAAGTGTGAGGATAATCACATAGCCCCACGGCTCTGAGCTTTGGACCTATTCACATTAAAGACTGGTACCTTTCTCTTCGTGAAGCTCTTTTTAGAGGCAGACTGTTGAATGATGTAATTTGATCATGTTAATTGGGGATGCTTATTCCTAGGACAAACTCAAATAGTCATGTAACTGTGAAGGTTAGACTAGAGAAAAAGACTCCTTGAACAGCAGGTGTCACTCATCCCCAGTAAAGGTCCACTTACGAATCCCAGAGGCCCTGAAACTTAAATCAGTATGTCATGTGACCCTGGCATGTTGCCCTTGGGATATCCTAAGCTCTTTTAGCTCATTACACCAAGATTGCTGATATTTTCAGTCTGGTTTAATCTCTTCTGTGGTGGTTTGGCTCAGGTGCTATGGGGACACCTCTGTCCTGGATGTAATAGTTTTGTTCTGAGACTGTCACCATTAATCTTACAGGGCTCTGTCTTTGGGATGCAGCCCAGAGTCTGGTCTGGTATCACCTTTGCAAGCTGAGTGTGACTGGTTGAGGATTCTCCTTTGCTTGTCTGTGGTTCTGGGTGTTATATGCCACCAAACATTAAAGCAGGTGACTCTACTGTTCCACAAACACATCCCACAAAACACCCATACCCAAGAGAACTGGGTACTTTGCCCTTCATGCTCTGAGTGTCCCCCCCTGCTTTTTAAAAACCTGGGTATTATACTCAACACCTCAATGCAAAAGTAGATCAATAGTAAGTTAATAGTTTATGCAAACGTCTTGATTTCTCCTAAGAACTGCTATTGTTTTAAGCAATGAGAAGCCACACGCAATCTCTTCCTCACTTTACAGATTCCCACATCTACAGATTCTGGGATGGCAGATTAGAATTGGTTCTGTGATGCCGAGAGATATGGAAGAGAACACAGGACAGATGCCTGGAGGGCATCCAAGCTCTTGGTCTGCTGCTCAGCCGTTTGTGAGCCACTTGATTGTGTCCTGTTGGCCGTCATTCTCATGTGTCTGTGCAGACTCTAGAGGATAGCCCCATGCTTCCAATGATTTAGATGTTTAGATACTTTGGGAATGCATGAGTTGGGACACAGTGTCTTCTTCGGTTACTGAGTGGTAGACCTGGAAGTCTCTGGGATGAAGTGGGCCATTAGCTGGGTGGTTTCATGTCTTCCTTCAGTTTTCACAGCCTATAGTTGGTAGAGCAGGGATGAGTGTTCATAGCTCTTGACTACGAGCCCCACACTCACTTCATTTGGCCTTAGCCCTTTAACCAAGGAACTGGGTAACCTCAGTAAGGGTTTTTAGGACACAGTGGGAGAAAGATTACACCATTTCTCCAATTCCCTCTGTGCTATTCCTCATGGGTCTAACAAGAGATAAACCCAAGGTCCCGTTACTTGATGGAAAACCTTGCACTTGGTAGAAGACCTGCAGCTTAATGATACGAGAAGATGCCCATGCTTTCTGTACGCTATTCTCATCTGTAACTCAGGGCTCACAGATGTCACTTCAAAGATTGTTATGGGGACTAAAAGTCCTAGGTATATAACAGTATTATAAATACCAGGTTTCTCATTAGTCTCCTCTGCAGGCTCTCTTTGTTTGATGGAGAAGACACCTCATTTGGGGACGGAAGGGGTGTCAGTATGATGGGGGACTGGGTTCAAGCATCAAAATATTGATGGTGGCTTTGTCTTTCTCACTGAAGGCAGTAAATTTAAGAATTGTAAGTTGATTACACATTGTACTAATGACTGTTTATCAAAAAAAAAATCTCCAGAGTTAGTGACTTTTTGACAACTAGGGCGACTGTATCATTTCATGTATAAGAAGAATCCAACTAAATTAATTTTTGAAAAGTGCTTTGAAATCTTTTATCTCAGAGGGAGCATGCTTAAATATATCCTAAGAGATACACTTGACATACAAAAAGTACAGCACACCTTTTTCAGATAGGCTTAGGAAATCACAATGAAATCAGAATAGACAACACTAATTCCTTAGAAAGTTGCCCTCGTAAAGGGCAAGCTTACTTCAAGGCTTGTCTCTAGTGCTGATCTGCTTTCTTATGGAGTCCTGTCTTCACCTTCCTGGATGGTTTTTCTCACATCTTAGCTTGTCACCTGTTAGGGAGGAAGGCTTCAGGCTTTGCTAAGAGTGCAGTGTGCAAACGAAAGTCACCTCACCCTGTCCCTTCTTATTTCTGTCACTTGGGGGCAGTTGTGGATTTTGGGTTATTTTGTTTCATTGCCTTAGGGAAGAGATAAGGTTGAACTTTTGTGTTAAGCTGTTTACTCTTTCTGTGCTGAGGAGCAAAAATATGCAATTGGTCCTTGTAACTGACATGCTAAATGTATAAAGTTGAAGAAAAACACGGCTTACAAAACAGCGAGTTAGCTATAGAAGTGCCAGTTCTTGGCAGTTTTGCTGTGCTGTAATTTCTCTAATTCTTTTTGCCAGAAGGATTTGGCAAGGGGAAAAATAATCAAATTTTATACAGCCATTGAAGAAACATTGGTGTGTAAAGTTCAGTGTGAACGGGCTTTCTGAGCAGACTAGTGAGACCAAGTATGTAGGAAAGACCAAAGACACAGGATAAGGATGTGCAGAGCCTCCCCCACAGAAGTGAGAGTGTTGGTGCTCTTTGGAGAGTACCAGCTACACCATCACTTAACCCTGTGCCAGCAGGCGTAGACCCCACCACACATGTTGCAGATGGCTGAGGCAAACAGGTTCTGTGACCAGGCTCTACCACTCACCCGTCTCACCTCACCTCTGAATCAGATCCAAAGAGCAGGAGAAGGGTCTTTAATGAGGAAGACACCAATGCAGGACCTGGCACAAAGACAACGTAGTACACCGAGTTGTATTTGACTGCTTGGGGGTGCCACTGGAGACCAGTATTCCAAAAGGACTTTTATAAGGGAAGGAGATGTGAGCCTGGAGCCCCATTGCCAGTTTTTCATAGAATGTACTTAAAATTTCATTTGAAATCATGAACATAGAGCAGGAAAGGCCACATTCTTCCATAGTGGTTCCTCCTCAAGCCTACCGCCTGTCCTTCACTGGAGGTGGCTTGCTGGTGGAGAGAGAGCCAGGCAGAGCATTGTTGCTTTCTCAACAGCATCACCTAGTGGCAGTGAAGAGAACTGTTGTTTTCCTGTGTGCACACCCAGCTAGCTGGCTGCAGGGCTTCTTTGCTTTTTTTTTTCCTTTCAATTGACAAGACTATTGGTTGCCAGTCAAGAGGGGTGTCTATTGGAGAAAACTCCACATACACACTAGTTTTTCTACTCTAAGTAAATGGGCATGGTGTAGTGGTCCTTCCTTCCCGCCACTTGGCAACATTCCTGGGCACAGATGTGCTTGACAGTCCATTCTGTTTACGTCTTTGTTTGGGGAAGGAAGTCTCTGTAGTCCCTTTCAGCTCCCAAATATAAGAGCTTTGGTTTCTGAATGGGAAGGATTTGGGTTCTCTGGATAGATACTACATTTCCTAGAAAGAACGCTGGGTGAAGAAATACATGGGGACTGGGGATTGGCCTCGTGGTGTCTGATTCTGGAAGGGAAACCAGGATATCAAAACCGACGCAACTAACCAAAAATTAAACATGATGTTTCATTTCAGGATGATGAAATTAACCAGCAGAGCCAGCTGGCTGAAAAGCTGAAGCAACAGATGTTGGATCAGGATGAGGTAACAGACACAACGAATTCCTTTTCACAGAAGTTTGGTTTTTTTTTTTTTAATTACTTTTTGTTGATAACATTAGTCCTAGAAATATAATTTACAAATAGCCTTCTTTAAAACCTTAAAGCATGTGGAGATTTCTTGATAGCTCTCCTATCAGTGCCTGCTAAAGGTTGACTGTGGCTGTGTGTAGTCGGCAAGCGCTTGACTCTGTAGTACTCTGAGGCCTCAGGGGGTTACTCTGTGCTGTACTTAGTCTTTGGAGGGAGGCACACACCTCTCTCCTGGTTGTTAGGTGAAGGTGGTTCCTTCTCAGTCTCAATGTATCAGCACACTGCTATTTTAGGATACTTCACCTCTATGAACTGCCTCATATAAACAGAATGGTTTTCGCATCTGGGTATAATTGATCATATTCACGCGCTAGCCTCTCCAGTCTCACTGGCCTCTCCTGCTGCTCTCCTTCCTTCCCCAAGCCCTCCAGAGTTCACATAGAACAGAAAGTGCGTGACATTTGTCTTTCTGAACCTGGCTTATTTTGCTTAACATGTCTCAGATCCGTTCCTACAAATGACATGATCTCCTCTTTCCTAATTACTAAATAAAACTTCTTTGTGTGTATTTATATATCTTTAATCATCTGTCTGTCGTCTACCTGCCCATCATATATCTACCTGCCTCTTGATTTGTTTATCATTCATCCAAAGGCTATCTTCCTCACACATTTTCTCTGCCCAGTCATCTGCTGATGGGCACCCAGGCTGGTTCTATAACCTGGCAGTTGCAAGAGTCTGGCATGTGTTTTGGCTTAGACTGTGTCCCCCTGCTCTGTCCTACAGGGAAAACACAAACAAAATCAAAAGTAGACCATCAGATAGGAAAGCCAGCCAGGCCATAGTGCTGTTAGTGTATATTTGGTACACTAAAAAGGAGGCCACCCGGTTTCAGCCTCCCTCCCCCCCCACCCGCATTCAGTTCTACTGTAAATGTCTTTATTGCATCTGTTTTGTCGTGGATTTTACAAATAGGAACTTAAGCAAAGCACAGGCCAGCCAATCTACCAGAGACAGAATTCTCTTGCTGAGATCACCTAAGTATTTTTTCTTTTGTGCTTTAAGGTGCTTCATTGCTAAAGTGCTGTTGATTGGCTCTTACAGTGACAGCAGGTGGCAGAGATCGAAGTCCCAGTCTCAGTCCCCCACACCCAGGAAGCACTTGTAACCATTTCCTTCCTCTCTGCATCCCATCATCTTCCCATGTAATGGTTGTGATTCTGCCTTTGGAGTCACGTGAACCATATTTAATAGGTTCCTATCTTAGCTGTGGTGTTGCGGTCGCTTGCTTCTGTTTTCTGTTCTCTGCTTCCATGCTGTTCTTTGCATCTCCAAGAGTGGTTCAGCTGCCTTGGATCGATTCCTTTTTTTTTCTTTTTACCGTTCAAACATTAACATTTTTTTCCTTGCAAAGTGATAAACTCTCATAAAGGAAATCAGAAAATAACAATGGTAACAGCCAAATAAAACACAGCCCAAAAACTCATTTTACCAGTGGTAGGTAGTGTTTGGGGTATATCCTTCTATTCAGTTCTGATAGACATTCAGGAAGAGTGACTTCATTTTAAGGATTGTTTGGATGATTTTGAAATTGTAGCACTGTTTGCAAAGGCTCTGGCAGGGTAGTCATTAGAAACAATTTTCCTATCTTTTGTTTAACATGAAAAAGCCAAGCAGCTGTAGTGCCCTAGTGTGTGTGTGCGTATGTGGTGTGTGTGTGTGTGTGTGTGTGGTGACTGTGAGTGTGTGAGTGTGTGTGTGTGTCTCAGTCTGACTTAGCATAAATTCCTTAAAACTTGAAAGGAAAAAGAAAAGATTTTTGAAATAACATTTGAAAATGTGTTTAGCATCTGTAACACACAGCGAGAGTTCTCCACAGCCTAAATGCTTCCAACTTGTTCTCCCGTATCTGGTTTTAAAATTGCGTTGTGCATGTAGCTCGAAGGTCGCTGACATATAACGCACTCACCTGGTCTTCTCATTTCCCCAGCTTCTAGCTTCTACCAGAAGGGACTATGAGAAGATCCAGGAGGAGCTGACACGCCTCCAGATTGAAAACGAGGCAGCTAAAGATGAGGTGAAAGAAGTCCTCCAGGCCCTGGAGGAGCTGGCTGTCAATTACGATCAGAAGTCACAGGAAGTGGAGGACAAGACCAGGGCCAACGAGCAACTGACTGATGAGCTCGCCCAGAAAACGGTTGGAGCAGTGGTGTCAAAGGGGACGGGACTTTTTTGTTGACCCACTTATATAGGAAGGCAGTTGGCTGAATGCTCCTCAGTTAAGACTCAGTTTGCTCCCTGAGGCCTCTCCAGCAGTCCCTTCACCACAGACTGCCTGTCACAGCTGTTTTTCACCCAGGAAGCTGATGACATCAGCAAGAATGCTTTCTGGAAACAGTTAAATGCAGACTCTAGATCCAGAAAAAGCTTAGTGAGAAATTTGACTTTTCGACTCTTCTGGCCTCAGGCAAGATGTTTAACCGTCCTGAGTATTCATTGCTTTATTTATCAAAATGACAATAATGTGCTTCACCAGTGGCACGTGTGTTAGTGACGGTTTGTGTAAAGCACTTAGCAAGGTCCTCTGTGTGTGGTGAAGTAATGATGATCAATGAATAACCCTGAAAGCATTGTTATTAAAGAGCAAAGGTGGGGGACCCACGGGAGTTAAACAGTCTATTGTTTCCATTCTACTGAATGATGTCGCTCCCCACCTCTCCAGCTTCTTGTCCTAGCTTTGGGAGGACAGAGGTAAGCTGGTCCTGTCAACCTGCTTCCAGCCAGAATATTGCTGTATTTCTGGTTGTTCCTGAGCAACAGATGCTGTGGGTTTTACAGGGTAAGCTAGTGACAGGCAGTCTGCTGTGACCAGTGAGCACTTGGTGATATGGCAGATGCCATGCTCTTTGCTGTCTGGAGATGGCTTTCGGAGAAGTTGAGTGGCTGTAGCCTGGTGTCCGTGATGCCTCTGCCTGAATGGCCTGGTGTTTTAGACTGTGCCATACTGCCTTATGGAAACATCAGTCCTGGGCACTCAGAGTAGGTGGGGAGGAAAGCTAGCTGCTGGCGGTGGAGCAGGCAGGAAGTGCTACTTGCTCCACACCTCCGCCCTGCATGAAGGAAGAACGGCCTTCCTAATGGTTTCCAGGAGACGGGGCTGCTTTTGTCTGTGGTGTTAAATAAGGTGAAATAAACAGTTGGCAGTGCTGATCTAAGTCACTGCAGACTCACTTAGAGAGGACTGCTACTCTGCTTCTGCCTTGCGTTTCCCTGGCTTTCTACAGCTCGTCCTCTGTGTGTTGTCTATCTTAAAGTAAGGCAAGGTTTTCTATCACGTGCTTCTCATTTTGTGTCAGAACATTATCAGACTGCTTTAATAGACTATTTTTAGTCAATTGTAGCGACTGGCTGCAAATGCCTTTGAATTAACTTGCAAGGCTCCGGGAGTAGAGGCTGAGTTAGCACCAAGATGCTAGAAGAGGTACTTACTCCATTGCTCTGAGTAAAGAACACATTGCTTCTCCCGGTAGGGAACATGGAGGATAGAAAAGAGGTCAGCTTGAGGAAGCTTGGTGAGAAAGTAGAGCTTTCGCTGCTTACGAGGAAGCTCTGCTATGGAACCTGAGTAATTTTGAAGAATTACAGTATTTAATTTGGCTTCCCTGAGGATTAGCAGATGTTCTAAGTTGTTCTCTATCCTCATTAATGTTTGTCTGGGCTATTGATTCCAGACCCATTACTCGGGGTATTTGGACGTGACCCAGGGAGCAGATTTTTTTTTTGAACACGGAGCTAGGGAACCTGAATTAGAACAAGGGGGAGGAAAGAACATTTGAAAATGTAGTTAAATCCTGTAAACATAGGGCCTCTTTTTGTGCCAGTGTGTGCACGTAGAGATCAGGTCAGCCCTCAGCACCCTTCTTCAGTGCCGTCTGTCTTGTCTTCTGAGACAGTCTCATTGTTCTGGAGCTCACCGAGTGTGGTAGATAGCTGGCCAGTGGGCCACAGGACTCCTTCCAGTCCTGCACCCCCAGACCCAGATACAGCCTCCAAGAATCAAACCTAGGTCTTCATGCCTGTGCTGCAAGCACCTCACTGACGGAGCTGTCTCTCCAACCTTCTATTTATTTAAAAGACCTTATTGCATCTTATTTATTTTTATGTTCGTGCACCGTGGTGCATGGGTGGAGGTCGGAGGACAGTTTGCCGGAGTCAGATCTTACCGTGCGTGACCCACTGAGCCATGCTCTGGGCCCTGCATTCATTTTCAGTAACTCACTTTGCTAGCGTGGATATTACCAACTAATAAATACATACCTAGTTTTAAGATAACATCTCTGAATTAAGTTCCTGTATCAGAACCGAGTGCTGAGCACCAGTCGGCCTTCAGAGTTCTCTTCCACTGAGATCAGAGGATGATTAAAGGGCTGGTCTGGCATGTGCTGTTTGGGTCTGGCGTGTGCTGTTTGGGTCTGGCGTGTGCTGTTTGAGTCTGGCATGTGCTGTTTGGGTCTGGCATGTGCTGTTTGGGTCTGGCATGGGCTTTTGAGCTCTGGAGGTCACAGGTGCGAATTCATGGGCCACCTTGGTAACTCGTGGCTGACTTTGTTTTCTAGACGACACTGACAACCACCCAGCGAGAGCTGAGTCAACTACAAGAGCTTAGTAACCACCAGAAGAAGAGGGCCACAGAGATCCTGAACCTGCTCCTCAAGGATCTGGGGGAGATCGGAGGAATCATTGGCACAAACGATGTGAAGACCGTGAGCCAGACTTCTATTCTCTATTCCTACTCTGTAGCACCCGAGGCTCAGGGCTGTGCTCTGCACATGTGGCATGCTGGGAAATACTTGATGGCAGGAAAAGGAGAGCTGGTTCATAAAGCAGGGGGCTGGGCAAGGGGATGGAGGAGAGGAGCAGTTTGCCTTTCAGATCTGGGGAGCATCTTCCAGTCTTGGTTGGTTTTGTGTGACTTGGTTGTTTTGGTTTTTTTTCTTCAGCCTTACCTGCAGTGTCCCCACTTTGGGGCTCCGCTGGGAGAAGCTGCAGGCCAGGTCTCAGTTGCCCTCTCCACTTTAAGAACCCAACCCAACGTAGTGAGCATTCTCCAGCCAAGCAGTATGAATTGAGAAAGCTTCCAGCTGAAAGTCACAGGCAGCTAGCAGTGGCTGGAAGAGTAAACCACACTTAATTATGTGCAACAGGAGGAGGCAGAGCCTCTGTTCCTGAGGTCATCTGCATCACCTGGAGCTAATTAGCAGTTTAGACCCCAGGCTGACCTCAGACATACTGAAGCAGTCTGTCCTTTAACAAGATGACTTGTGGCTTATTAAAGTTAGAGAAACCAGTTTTGTTTCATTGCAGTGGCTCCATAATACAGAGGACGCAGCCGTTCTATTTCCTTTCTGCGTGTCCTAGTCTCTGTCATATTCATATCTTTAAGCTTTTGCCTCACATAGCAAGATCACTGCTGTAGCACCAACTGTCGAGTCTTCATTCATTTACATCCAACGCAGTGTGGGCTGCGTCACTGACCACTTTTATCCAGGAGAAGGGACTATATGCCAGAAATTCCCAGTACATATAGCCTCTGCTGGCCGGCCAGGTATAGGTCATAAGGACCATCCCAAAGGAGAATTAGATTACCGTGAATGGAGTCATGCACACTGGTGCCCCTGAAGACAAGGAGATGAGGAAGGGAAGGAAATGGGAGAGTGGTCTAGAGTTGTCTCAAAGCTGGGATGAGAAGGGAGAGAGAAAGAATGTTATCAGTGAAGAACAACAATGGTTAGCCACAGTATAGGTTGTCATTAAACAGAAAAATCGGATAGAGAATTACGAACATACCTTTAATGGGGTTAGTATTAGATGAAGCCAGCGTCACACTTTCTCAGTGCACTGTTGGATTGTGTTCTGAGGATGGCGATGACCCCACAGCCTATCCCTCACTCCCAATGCTAGGGTCTATAGTTTTGACGGGTGTAGCTTCCCAATGACAAAGCACCTTGTACTGAGTAGTTCCTGTGTTTTGTTGAAGACACTGGATGGAGGAGTGATGTCCCTGAACTTGCCGCTTTACGGCCCTGACAACAAAATCTTTTGAGCGTAAACATTTTACCTTTACTCAGTGAACCTTCAGAGAGTTGGCAGAGGTTCAACCCTGGGAACCCACAGTCACCACTGGGAGACAGAAAGCCGCTGGATGTTGCTGCAAGTCTAGGCTGAGGCCTGGGACTCTCCACCTTGTTCCAGGCTGAGTGTTAATGAGTGCCGTTACAGCCGTGGTGCAGCCGTAGGGTGGCAGTTTCAGGCCCTGCCTGGTTAATCTATTAAGTCCCAGCTTGGCTAGTCTGTACTTCGGGGTTAATTTTTAGAGCCTCGTGTTGGTGTTGAGCAGTGCAATTCTGACACAGGGCTGATTAAAGGCTTACAGGACCACGTGACACTGATTTGTGAGATGTTGGCACCTCCTGCTGATAACAATAAGGAAAGGTAGTTTTTATGCTAAGTTCTTACACAGAGCACATTAATGAAATCAAAGCGTGTTTGGCTTTTGCCATTAAAGGTCCTTCCTGCCAGAAATCACAAGCATGATGAGAGTGTTTTTAAATACTTAATTGCGTGTTTGGGGATTATTTTTAGGTTCCTGACACTAGATGACCTATTTACGTTCATTGATGACTCTCACAGATCCCAGTGTTCTCAGAGAGCCTCCTTCCATGCTGGACTAATGACAAAGGCCGCAAGTGGATCTGTGCTGTTACACTATGGGATGGATGGAATGAGGAAGCAGCATTGGGAGGCGGATCTCAGGCAGTCACAAACCTGACTTAAGCTTAGCAAGGGCCTCCATGAAGGGGAGTCACAGCTGATAATTGTAGATTTTCCTGCTGTTCACTCAATATTGTGCTGCAATCATTGTTAGGTATTGTTGAACTCTTATAAGGTTGGAATCACACTACAGGCATGCAGAACTGTATGCTTCATGCTTGCTACCAATATTCAGGGCTCATACCCAATACCATTTTCTCTCAGTTCTCAAATGTTTACACAGAAAAATATGTGACTTAATCACAGCACTGATAACATTTGATCAGGTGGGAGGGGGCAGAAAGGGAGGTCACTGGAACATCAGAAATTGCTGGCTTTCCTGGGCTGGATTCTGCTGGGATGAACAGTCTTCCTAAGGTGCAAGACTGCCCTCTGGTGGTTAAATATAGTACACACAAAGCTACTTTCTTCATGGCTCTGCTGGTGAGCGTACCATGCATTTCAGCAGAGGGGTATAACCCAATACCTTGTTTTCATTTTTAGTTTCCAGTGGAGTTCTGAAAGTTAGAAGCCAGATATACCTCATTCAAGAATCCTGTCAGAACCATCTCTTCTCAATGTAAACTTAGGCTCATTCTTAGATATCTTAATAAGTAGGTTACTATCTACTTGGAAGGGCAGCTCCAAAAAGGCAAAGAAAAAGATTGGTAGCAGCAGATAGCTGAGCATGGGAAACTTCACGTGAGCAGGCGCTGGATGAATGGCGTGTTCTCCGGCATTAGAGGTTCTGTTTGAAGAGTGTGGCGAAAGTCTTTGCTAGTTCATCCATTGCACATAGACGTTGGGGTCCTCAGCACTGTGGAAAGTGTAGAGAATTGAAGTGCTGGGAGGAACAGGATTATTAAGGCCCCGCTAGGGTCATTGGGTCACTGTTATAGACAAGCAGGGTGAGGCTTCTGAGGAGTGTTCTCCTTTAAAAACTCTTCAGTAGTGTTTCTTGTGATGTCATCCTTTCCTCTAATCAATAGCAAGGAAATGTGTGGTTAACTGAGGAGTACGTGGTTTTTGATGGGAACTTTCTCGAGTGTAATCTCTGAGGACTTGATGGTGACTTTGTCACATTCATTTTAAGCTAGCCCTGTGGCTACAGTGTTTGCCCAAAAGCTAGGAATGTCTCAGGGACTCATAGGTCTCAGGAGTGCCACAAACTTCTGATGTTACCTTCTGTGCTCAGCTGGCAGACGTGAATGGAGTCATCGAAGAGGAGTTCACCATGGCGCGCCTCTACATTAGCAAGATGAAGTCGGAGGTCAAATCTCTCGTGAACCGTAGCAAGCAGCTGGAGAGTGCCCAGATGGACTCCAACAGGAAGATGAATGCCAGCGAGCGGGAGCTGGCAGCTTGCCAGTTGCTTATCTCGCAGGTAGGCGATCCATTCAGCCCTGTTCACACTCACCTATTAAGATCTGTCCGCCCCCACCCCCATGCCCTTCCTGGGGTTAATAGTGTGTCCTATGGAGAGTCGATGCACTCGGCCTTGTGTGAGCATGCCTTAAGATAGCCCACACACCTCTTCTTGTGTTTCTAAGACAAAAATTTCACTTTGTAGCTCAGATTGGCCTTGAACTCATCCTCCTCCTGTAGTGGGTTGGTCTGATACTGCATGTAGTCTAAGATTGGTCTTGAACTCATCATCCTCCTGTCTCAGCCCCACCCCCTCACCCGCTACTCAAAAATGGGTGATTGGTGTGTATTACCAAGCCTGGTCTCTGGGTTTATCCTTAAAGCTAGATTTTTGTTGTGTAAATTACACAAATCCCTCAAGGCTTCTCCATCTTCAAAGTGTCTATGTCTGTTTCTCTGCCCACCCATGGGTGACTATGTAGTTGAGCCTATATGCTACATCTCTAGGTCTCCTATTAGCTAGGGAAGCATTCTTTCATTCGAAAATCCCTACCATGGGCACAGTGTAAGATGTGTGGATAGAAACTGCTGCTGCTGCTGTTGGTGGTGACAGGGCAGTTTCACTGTATCACATGTATACACAACACTAAACATTTCATGTGCATTTTTTCCCCATGATCTTTAAAAAGTTCTGTAGGAAGATTTTATTCTTTTCTTTTTTTTCAAATAAAGATGTGACTGTGATAAAATACATTATCCAAATGCATGAAGTCTGGGTTTCTCAAGCCAGCTCTTTCCCTATTGGAATGACGTTTCCATCTCAGGAAGGAAGTTCAGAGGACCCTAGGACAGTTCTGGGCTACACAGACGTGTAAGCTTACATTTGGGTTTGAGATTCCTGAGATGGTACCAGTGTGTGCTGGTCACCACCTTGTAACAGAATCAATTGGGGAAATGGGTACCAGTGTGGACTGGCATGTCTAACAGGACCAAGAGACAGAGCATCAGATTCTGATATGGCTTTAAACATATTATGCAGTAACAGAAAGAACCCCAACTTAATTGTCTAAAATGGATTCTATGGGTTGTTTTTATATTAAGTAAAATATCATTTAAAGGGCTATTCAGTGTTGGTATGTGGTGGAAAGTTAATAAGCATGATGAGATATAATTTAGCAATCCTTTTGAAAAACACTTGGAAAGTATAAAACCTGAAAAAATACATATCTGATGTTCTGTATGTGTGAGCTCATTACAGGTGTGCTCACATGTATGTGCACATGCGGAGGCCAAAGGCTGACCTGGAGTACCTTCCTCTACTGCATTCCTGTCTGCTGTTTGAGACAGGAGACCTGTTCATGATGATGAGTCTAGTGCTTGTGCTTTGGCTAGACTGGCTGGCCAACAGTCCTCTGGACCCATCTGTCTTTGTTCATCCTTAGCTCTGGGGCTGTAGGCGAGTGCCACCATCAGCTTCTGTATGGTGTCTGGGGATTCAGATGCAGGCTGTTATGTTTGTGCATCTCCCTAACCCATAAGTGTCATTTGGTCCAATAATTTTATATATACTATTTTTCATTGGTAATGGAGATGAAATTTTTAAATGTCATATGGCATAATAATTTTCTGATTACAATACTAAAAGCTTATGTGGAAGCTATTGGATGCACTATTATTTGACATTATTGTAAGATATATTACCCAAATACCTGTTGGTAGACAAATGATGAAGTTATGTGGAAGAATATTATATAACACTTAGAAAAATTTATAAAACTTGGGTATTTGGGAAGTATGATTATACATAATAAGTAAAAAAAAAGGAGGGTCTGGAGAGATGGGTCAGTGTGTAAGAGCTCTGACTGCTCTTTCAGAAGTTCTGAGTTCAATTCCCAGCAACCACATGGTAGCTCACAACCATCTGTAATGAGGTCTAGTGCCCTCTTCTGGTGTGTCTGAAGACAGCTACAGTGTAATCATTAATAAAAATTAATTTTAAAAGTTTTTTAAAAAAGAAAGACAGAGTTCAATCTATGCTGTTTTATACCTTTGCAGAATATATATATATATATGTATATGTGATATGTGTATATATATATATCTTAATTTGTAAGACAGTGTGGTTTTTTATAACTATATTGTCATTAGCAGCAAGAACTTTTTCTTAAATTTGTAGCAAGATATGTTTATAATTTATAAAAATTGAGAGAAAAAGGTAAACATTAGAGAAAAGTACAGCCTAACTCTACTTTCTAGGTCACCTTTAAGACTATTGCATGAGCCTGGGGGGACGTGGTATTCCTACTCCCAGGAGATGGGGGCTGAAGTCAGCCACCGGCAGAACATTCATGGCTGATAGCCCAGCCCTTTCTCTGTCCAGCTGGACATAGGAGCTCCATGCCCAAATCCCGCCTGCACACCGTACACTGACATGACTAGTCGGATCAGGTTAGCTGTGCCCTGTGTGGGTGAGCGAGGAGGAGGAGACAGTACAGCCTGCAGAGTCCTAGGCAAAGGGGTGATCTGCAGTGCTGCTCAGTGGAGCAAGTGCAAGGGGGGGCAGCATTCACTCTCGTGTGGGGTCCCGGGCCTCGGAGTGACAATGACTGGTACATGAGAGCTAGGCTAGCAGCCAGTACCCTACCCCACTCTGCCACAGTACAGAAAGCCGCCGACTCAGCCTTTACTCTATCAGAAACCTTGGACTTTTCCTTTTCTTGTGTAGTTTAAAGAATCTAAGAATATTCCTCACTGAAATTCTTTCTTCTTTGTTCATTTTGTCTCCCTCTACCCCAAAGCTGTTTTTATATCTCTTCCAACTGAGTTTCTGTGGGGTTATGTCATTGGAATTCATTCTGCTGGGTCATCCTGCCCAAACATGAGTCCCCAGATCTAGGGGGGAAACAATCTGCATATTCCATCTGTCTAGACGTCACCATTATGCCTGTTCAGCCCCCGAGCTCCCAACTGTTTATCCACTCATTCCATTGGTGCTTATTAAGTATCTCTCATGAGCAAAAAAACAGTGATGTTAAGGAGAAGCCAGGGGCTGTGAAAAAATGACTACCTAGTAAGGAGCCAGCCAGGGCACGTGTGCATGTGTGGAAGGAACCAGCAGAGAGGAAACTCTTCAGAGAGGGGAAACCTTGGGTACAAGCAAGGTCTCTAATGACCAGAGTTGGTGAATTGTCTCTGAGGGACAGGAGAAGAGCAGATTTGATGTTTGAATCTATAGGTTCATGTGCAAAGAATGAGGCCTTCAGCTCTGGATGATTCCCATCCTCCCTCCCCTCCCTATGGTGCTTCGTTTGAATCCAGGCCATTGCTCATGCTAGGTGGGTGCTCTAACACAGAGCTACCCGTAACCATTCGGCATTTACCATGAGGAAGGAAAACAGGGCAGACTTTGGTCTCCGCATGAAGTGGTAGAGCACAAGGACTTGGCCATGCAGCATCTGGAAACAAGCTGCAGAGTACATGGAAGAAACAGAGAACTCCCTTGGTCCTCAATTCTGAGTCCCAGGCAAAGGACAAAATATGAGCCATTCCATGATGAGGTATCTAACTTGTCTTTTGCTATTAGACAGCTCCAGATGACTTGGAAAACCAGGTACTAGGTACTCACCTTTCCTTCCGATCTGTTTTCTTACCCAAAGCATGAAGCAAAGATCAAATCTCTGACAGACTACATGCAGAACATGGAACAGAAGAGGCGGCAGCTGGAAGAGTCCCAGGACTCCCTCAGCGAGGAGTTGGCCAAGCTCCGGGCCCAAGGTAAATATTGACTGCTTTGCAGGTGTCAGACACTTGGCCTAATCCAGTCTCTAGCTGGCTGAGTTCTGATGTTCAGTTTTGTTCAGCTACAGCATTTCTGGGAACTGCAGCATATCTGAAAGAAACCCATGTTACCCCACCGTGTATCTTCTGCTCGCCAGCTTCCCTCTGTCCACCCAGCTGACTGGGCCAGCATCCTCTCCTTCCAACCCAGTTGGCCTCTCGTTCTGCAAAGCTTGTCCCTCAGGCTTGTCAGATGTGTCTCTTGTGCTGCGCATTTCTGTTATGATTGCCTTGGAGCAACCTAGTTAGTGATTGTGGCTAAGTCAATATAACTGAGGGGTCTCACTGTAGGCTTCTCTGGACTGGTCACCCTGCTAGATCCCAGGGGTGATTCTGAAATGCAAATTCTGTCTTATGGCAGACCTGATGGGTCATGCCCTTCCTTGGGATTCTGAACTTGGACTAAGTGCTAGGCTTTTGAACAAGTTCTTCCCTTAGCTGTGTTGTACCTGACACACAGCAAACACTTAATAAATCTGAGTAAACAGAAGCAAAACTTAAAGGTGGCCATCAGAAATGCAAAATCCAGAACAGGGTTTAAGAACATTGCAGTGTGCAGAGTAAGACCAGCTACACATAGTGAAGGCTGCAATAAAGATCAATTCTTTATAGAACAATGTGAATTACCGTTACAGTTATTCAGGCCATTTGATTGCAGAATTTTATTTTATATTTTAAAAGATGGTGTGTGTGTGTGTGTGTGTGTGTGTGTAGGAGGCCATAAGAGGGTGTTCAGTGCCCTGTGGGTGCAATTATTGGCATTTGTGAACCACCTGGTGTGGATGTTGAGACCTGAACTCTGTCCTCTGCAAGAATATCAAGTGCTCTTAAATACTGAGCCATTTTCCCAGTCCCTCATCACAGAGCTTCAGATCAGAAAAGCATAAACAAAAATGCAGAGAAAAGGAGAAAAGGAAAGCACCCAAAAATATCTAAAAGTTCAATAGACTTTACTAGAATATCGGTCGTCGTGTCAGACAGAATGTGCAGCTGTGTGGCCATGGTTATGAAGCTGTGTTAGGATAAAATCTTTACTGCAGTCACTAAAGATAAATGGATCCTTGTATTCTTAGAAATTAAGATTTAAAATAAAAACACTCTGATGTGTAGTAGGATTGATGATGTTACTATTTCATTTCTTTTATTTTCATATAAAGCTGTTTACTGGATAAGTACATGCTGCGTCAGGTTTAAAGGCAAAGTAAGAAGAAAGAGCCCTGCTATAGCTTTGTAACATTTGATTTCTGTGGCAAGGAATGGCTGTGGAGAGTAAAGCATCTCAAACTGGACAAAGAAAAGCATTTTTGCATCTTGCATGTTCACTGCAATGGGGCGGTTGAACAGAAATACAGAGAAGAGCCCAAAATAAAGTGAAATGGACTAGAGAAATGATGAGCCAGATGTCACTGCCCAAACGACATTTGCTCCCCCCCCCCACCTTCCAGCTGTGCAGCTCACAGCCCTTGCTCACATGCTCAGGAAGCCCCATGAGTGCATAGAGACAGGAGTGCTGGCCATAGCCATGCCCACCCGGGCCCCTAGTGAGCCCAGAAAGTGTTAGAGTATATTTCTGTTTCCCTTGTTTTTCCTCTGTAGCTTGTTTTCTTGCTCCAGATTCTTACAAAATCAACAGCTACTCCTGGAAGATAAATTATCTCCTTGTGGAATTCTCCTGGTGACATGAATCCAGATGTCACCTCACACTCACAGGGGCTTTATAATCTGATGTCACCTCACACTCACAGGGGCTTTATAATCTGTAAGGCATGATTGCTGCACCCTCAGGGCCTGCTCCCAGAGGCCAGCTAGGAAGCAATTCTGGGGCTGCCTGCTTCCAGGTAGCCCCTTCCTATCCCTGGATGCTCTCCAGCAGGGATGAAATCCACATGGCATCCCAAGTACCAGCACAGGCCACAGGACAGGGCAGGTCAGCCCGAGATGTTGGGTGTTTGCCAGCCTCCCCCTTCTCCATGCTGGCACTGGTGCTGCTCTGATACAAGCTGCCTGGTGTTTGCACTGTGTCTTCACAGTTTTGTTTTCTGAGTTTTTGCTTCGGGGTATGAATCCTGCTAGTTCAAACTCCAGTTGCTTTTTACCATTTGAAACAGAAAAAATGCACGAAGTCAGTTTCCAAGATAAGGAAAAGGAGCACCTGACGAGGCTGCAGGATGCTGAGGAGGTGAAGGTGAGTGCGTGTGTATTTGATGTGTACATATCTGGAACGATCTGGCCCCAGACCTGTGCATGTCCGTAAGACAGAGAGGAGAGGAGCCATGACTGGGCCTTCCGAGCAGATCTCATGGGGCCTGATATAGTCACAAGATGCTAATGGGACTGTGCAGGAAACCAGAAATGTCTCTGCATACACCTATGTTGCACTGATGTCTTTGTGTTCCCTGTTCCTGAAGGGGTTAAGTGACTTGTCTGGAGTCAGCCGGGTAGTAAGAAAACTGTGTTCTGACAGGCCTGGCTTGGAAAACCTCGGGTCTCCAATGAGAGGGGTCTCCAATGAGAGGTCGAAGGGCAAAAGAGAACTTCCTATGCTATTGTTGGGCTGGTTTGCCTCTGGGGCCCACTCAGTTTTGTGACAGATCTATGGGCTTTGCTATACAAATGAAGCAAGGCCAGGAGCTTGGGCACTGAGCGGGAAACACCCTTAATTTGGAGATTTAACATCTGAGGGAGATAGCTAGGGATCCAGGGCTTGTCACTGAGTGGGCAGAATGCCACATTTCTTGACACCACATTTCTCCTGGACTGGCTTGCAGAAAGCTCTGGAGCAGCAGATGGAGAGTCACCGGGAAGCGCACCAGAAGCAGCTGTCCAGACTTCGTGATGAGATTGAGGAGAAGCAGAGAATCATTGATGAGATTCGGGAGTGAGTTGGCTGGGGGGCTCACGGGACACAGGCGGGCAAGGGCAGGCCTTGGGAACCAGACTTAAAGGACATGGCTTTTGGCCAGGGGCCCCGTCTCTTTGTGCTTGGACTCTGTGTTCTGCCCAGGTGGTGCTGCCTCTGAGGTCTGTTCTCCCATCTGGAGGCCAGCTCCCCTGCGGCTCTGGTATAGGTGGCATGCAAGCCCAGCCACCATTTCACATGTCCCCAGCCAGTTCAGGGGTGACTCAGCTTAGAAGATACATGCCCAGGAACCAGAAAGACTAAATGAAAGTATAAAACACACACACACACACACACACACACACATACACACACACACATACACACACACACACACACACACACACACGACTATTCCTCCCCCCAGGAGTTAATAAACACTCCAGAGAAGCTGTTTGGCTTTGCTGCCACTTCAGCCCAACAGATTATGCACCTGTAGTCACCTGGTCACCTGTGCACACATCTCAAAGACCTGTGCCAGTACGAGTGTGCACGGTAGATGCCAGTTTACCTTCCCACTGCTATCAGGATGACACCGTTGCAAGTTAACTCTGGAGGCTACCTTGTGACCACATCCTGCCTTCTCAGAGTCCTTGGGGAGCTCCCTGCTCCACAGCACCCTTTCCTTTTCTGTAGCACAAGTCCCCCAGCTGCAAAGCTCCTTTCTGGGGCATCTTATTCTGGGGTTCTTTATGCTTTTTATGTAGTAGATCTTCTTGGTGAACCCCTTTGCAGAACAGCCTTTTAAATGCTCCCCTAGAAGGCATTCTATTACAAAGAAAACATGTCAACTGAAATAGAATTTCACCCACTGCCCCTGCTCCGTCTAGGGCAAGAACCCCTCCACCACCGCCACCACCCTGCTCCCACCATCGCCACCGCTACTTTCTATAGATGAAGAATTAGATATAGGAAGCAAGGTTGAATTATTTACTTAAGGTCGCACGGCTAAATAGGAATCAGACTGGAGCTAAGCGTTTAATTCTCCAGGCTACTGATCCAAATCTTTTCAGAGTATGTGAGCTGCTTGCAAGAGCATTTGCATCTTGAAGGAGAGGAGGAGGGAAGCAGGAGTCTAGCTGGTGTGCTGGCTCTGTGCAGCCTGCTGAAGGACAGGCCTCAGCATGCCCTGTCCCCACCCCTTCTGCTCCTGTCCCATTCCAATGCACCTTGAGCTTCTCCTGGACACAACTATAATTAATCTCCCTCAAGACATTCTGCCGAAAGAGAAGGAAAGAAAGAAAGGGAGGCAGAGAGAACATTAGTGCACGAGTTCCCTGTGGGAGCTTCCAAGACTTGGGCTCTTGGTGCTTCTGGCCTCCTCCTCACAGTCTTGTGGTCTCGGGCTCTTGGATGGTTTTATGAGCACTGGCGTGGGGCAGAGGTGGAGTAGACCCTCCTGTCTCAGAATTTCTATTGCTGTGAGGAAACATCATGACCCAAAGCAAGTTGGGGAGGAAAGGATTTCTTTCAACTTAAACAGTATACAGTTCATTATCCAGGGAAGTGAGGACAGGAACTTAAGGCAGAGGCCATGGAGGGGTGCTGCTTACTGGCTTGTTCCTCTTGGCTTACTCAGCCTGCTTTCTTACAGCTCCCAGGACCACCAGTCCAGGGGTGGCACCTCTTCTGAGAGCCGGTTCCTATCATATCATTCATCAATAATAATAATACAGACTTGCCTACAGGCAGATCTGTGGGAGCAGTTCCTCAGTTGAAAGCCCCTCTTCCCAAATGACTTCAGCTTGTGTCAAATTGACATAAATTTGACTAGCACAACCAGATGCTGACTTTCTGTCTCCACAAAATCTTAGTGGTGTTCTTCATTAAGCCTGTCTGAACATTCAACCAGACCAAGGGCTTCCCCCATGGCCGCTGCTGTCATGGGGGACAGCTTCTGACATTTGTGGGTGGTGATGTTCAAATGGCCAAATAGTTACTGAGTATACAGCTGTTCTCCGGGTGTGTACAGCAGCAGATAGTGTATATCAGGGTTCTCTCTCTCTCTCTCTCTCTCTCTCTCTCTCTCTCTCTCTCTCTCTCTCTCTCTCCCTCCCTCCCTCCCTCCCTCCCTCTCCCTCTATTTTCAAGCATCATTCTTTCCCCAATGTCATTATATCCCCACAGAAGCCCTTGCACACAAACAAACTATAAATATACCCGTAAAGCCTTTGTTTCATTTCATGCTTCCGAGCTGCTCCCCAGAAATCAGTTTTAACTTGCACAGAGAAGATGCTGCGAGGTTGTTCTCTGATCCCTCAGAATCCTCCCAAATTGTTGCCTTTATTGCACAGAGCTAATGGGGCTGGACGAGAACCAGAGCTTTAGGCGGATGACTCAGAAGTTCAAGCTGACCTGGAGTATATTGCTTTTTCCTCTCAATTTCAGTTTGAATCAGAAACTGCAACTGGAACAGGAGAGGCTCAGCTCTGATTATAACAAGCTGAAAATAGAGGACCAGGAGAGAGAAGTGAAACTGGAGAAGCTCCTGTGAGTGCCTTAAACCTACCCTGACTTCTCATTCTTGGGAGGATCCTCAGCCCTAGTGGAGCCCCGGAGATCCCCACTAGGTCCTCTATTGAAAGCAGCAGGGGCTTGGGTAGTTCTTTGCTTAGCCTAGCCTTAGGTGCATCTGCTCTGGCTCTGCTGCTCCCTTGGTAGCTCATGATTCCTTTCTGTCTCTCAGATTGCTCAATGACAAAAGGGAGCAAGCCAGGGAGGACCTCAAGGGACTGGAGGAGACTGTGGTGAGTCACTTCCCAACTCAGCTCACTCTTGGAGGCCTGATTTGTTTGTGATCTGCTGAATTGTCTATTCTAAAATTTTACCTGTGCGCACCTTTCCTGTATAGCATTTAGACACAGCGTTCCGTGGCAGACTGGGATTTGTAGAATTGCTTCTTAACAGCATGAATCCACTAGATTCTTAGTTATTAGTGCCGTAATCCTGAAATACTTGAATAAGAATTGAGCTCTGTTGTAACGTAGTATCTGCACTTCGTGACTCCACTCCACTCTGAACAGATATGTAGCAGGCACCTATGGAGGCCAGCCCTTGTCTAGATGCTTGGGCGTATCAGTACACACTGTAAGGAGGTCTTGTCCTCTAGATGCTGCCCTTGATGAGACAAGCAGAGGGGATGTTGGAGCAGTAACTTGTGGCAGTAACAGGGACAGCAGTGTGCATCTGGGTGAAGGGGGGTAGAAGGCAGACACTAGGGGACAGTGCCGGAGCAGGTGCCTTGGAGGAGGGTCAGAAAGAAGAGCAGGAGATCCCACTTGCCTCTGAATGGGCTCAGTATTTGATATTGCTGTTGGTTTCTCTGTGCTGTACCTACAGCCATTGGCTTCCCCTGGCAGCTTTGGTTTCCGTGGCTGTGCAGGCTAGCAGCTTGGTCATGCGTCACAGATGTGGCTTATCACAAACCATCCTAACAGCGTAACACAGTGAAAATGTGTGTAGGCTTGCACATGTTTAAATTCAGCGGCACCTTCTTATCCCACTCATGTCATGGGAGTCTATGTGGGACAGAGACCATCTGCACCAACCTGGAGAGTCAGACTGTAGGCAGATGGCTACTTCCATCTGGAACTGAGGCTGCATGCTGGCTCCTGGGTCAGTACAAAGTGCTCCTCAGAGAAACGAGAACACAAGCCTTTGGGACAGGGGTCATATGCCTGTGCTGACAGGAGGTTAGACCTTTCAAAAGGTGACGTCTGTAGGGAAAACAGACACAAAGCCATGAAATCACTTCATCTACATAGTTCAGTAGAGCGATACAGTGGATAACTGAAGGTTCTTGCAGAAGTGCAGGAAAATATTGAACATTGAAAGTTTACTAGATTCCCACCATTCTGGCTGTGTGATAATTCCGGATGATCTGCCTGTGCCTATGTGCACCCCTAAACCCATGCACCCTTGTTTACCTTCCATGTCTCTGCTGTCCTCGCACAAGGCTTGCACGTGTGTTTGCACATATGGCTGGTCAACACACGACACACTCACTTTCGTGGTGTCTTCTGGGCTTGGCCACATGTGCACACTCAGTCCTAGCCACAGCTTACACACATACACAGCACTCTCATGGGCCCCACCCCCTCACACACACACACAATCTCTCACATACACTCTCTCACACAAACATATATACACACAGGGCTCTCCTTCTCACACATATACACATTCTCTCACACACACTCTCCCTCCCACATACAATCTCTTCACATACATTTTCTTACACATACTTTCTCACACACACTTTCTCACAATCTCACACACACACTTTCTCTCTCACACACACACTTTCACACACACTCACTTTCTCACACACATATGATCTATTTCACACACACTTTCTCTCACACACACTTTCATACACACAGTCACGCACACACACACACACCATACATGCTCACACCCTCTCTCTCATACCTCCACCATACCGCCTTTCTTTCTTCACTCACATCCTGACTTACACTCTCACACACCTACCCTTCCTTGTTCCTATCCCTGTGAGCATGATGAATAAAGGACCAGTAGCCAGTCCCTTTGCTGTCTTAGGCTCTCAAATGTGTATTAAATGGCATGTTTCCTCAGTAGCCTCTGTCATCTACTCAGTCCTTCCCTCCCTCAGTTCATTCCCTCATTCCCTTAGTGATCTGGCTGTGCCCACACACGCTCGATTTCACAGGCTGCCCCCCACTTACCAACATGTCCATCCATCCCACACACAAGGACAGACCTACTGATGTGGTGGTTCCTTTTCCTCTCTCTCTCACCACCCTCACGCCCCCTCCCTTAAATCCGGGACTAGATTCCTGTAGCGTGTGCTGTTTTAGACTTGACTGTTGCCCTCAGCCTTGGATACCTCCCACGCTGAGCTGTAGATATTCTTCGGAGACAGGCTCTTGCTGTCCTTGGCTGTCCATTCTGTTCTCAAGGCCTCCTGTGCCAGCCTTCCCTGCCGCCTGAGTATTGTGGCACGGGGGGTGGGGGATGCTGTCCACAGATTGGATTCTGAGAACCGCACTCCAGACTGGCCATCTATGCCGTTCTTTGACTGAAGGCAGGACACTGACCACTTCCTCCTGATCCCACCTCATGCCACACAAACTGCCTCTCAGGTGCTAGCACCACTGTCCACCATGATAGGAAGCTTATCCTTGAGGTCTTGCATGGAAGTCAGTAGCTTCATGATGGGAAGAGGCCTGAGAGAAGTTGGAGGATGTAGAAAATGATTATGAATGTGAAGGAGAAAAGATCATTGCTGCAGGGACCCAAGTGACAGCTGCCTAAGGGCAGCAGCATAAACCGCCTTAAATGCCATTGACTGTGAGAAAAGAGCCCGCCCAGGACTCTTATGTTGTCCTTATGTTCCAAGGAAAGGCTTGGCTCTTGGGCAGGGTGTCTGGCCCTCTTGTCTCCCTTTTGTGTGGTGATGCTTTTCATTAGAAAATATCGACTGTGATCACAGGGTAGGCAGACATTCGAGATCTGAGGTGGAGGGACAGCATGCAGAGCATTTGTGAACATTAAGGGATGCTGAGACTGAACTCTCTCTGGCTGGGGTGTAGGGCAGTCTGGATACTGGTGAGCACTGTTCTGCAGCCCCGTTTCTATTCTGTAAGGCACCTCACTCATAGACAGGACTGTGAGCACATTAATCATAATACCAGACCTGCTTGGCTTCCTGCAGAAACCAATTTACCCCGTCCAAGGTGCAATTGACTTCAGGTGCTTCTTATTTCAGCACAGAATTGGATCTAGTAATAAAGTCTTAAATTAACAGAGAACCTTATTCCAAGGAACTTAGTGTTTCTTTAACTCTGGACCCTGTTTTAACCTTTTAAATCTAAGCCTGTGTAAATTTCATCCCCTGACATCATGTCAGTTTGTACAGATGAAAACATTGAAGATTCTCTGTCTCCTCCTCACTTATAAGGAAATAATTTACATGAAACTAATATCTCGTGTAAAAAACATATCAAGAACCAGGTTGGAAAGATGGCTCTGTAGTTAAGAGTACTCACTACTTTGGTAGAAGACCCGAGTTCAGTCCCCTGCACCCCACACAAGGCAGCTCATAACCACCTATAATTTCAGCTCCAGACGATCCAATGCCCTCTTCTCAAACCTTCTAGCATCTGAATTTATGTATGTACATAGGCATGAATTTCAGATCAATCAGAGCTACAGAAAATAACATCCCAACTAAAATCTATATATAAATATTATACATATTTATATATGTGTGTGTGTAGGTGTGTATGGAGACAAAGACTTGCATAGAAGGAAATGTTTAGATCTTCTGATTTTGTTACTAAAGCTCTCCAGGTTTGGTTCAGGCTCTTGTCTCCTCCCTCATAGTCTTCAGTGTTTATTCATAGAAAATAATCCAAAATGAAGGAAGAAATTGTAACTGCCGGCTCTTGGGATGTGAACTCATATTAACCATCATACTGACCATTTACTGAGGCCAGAAGTCGTCCTAAGAGATTTCTAGGTCTTCCCGTTTAGTCTTGATTCCAGTGAGTCAAATTCTCTTTATCTTTGTCTCAAAAATGAGAAAATGCACAGGAAGTTCAGGTGACTTGCCCAGCGCCACCAGGTGGAGAGTCTGAGAACGGCTCATCCCTGAACTGCTGATGTGAGACAAACATACCTGTGGACTGGGGCAGTGGTGGGTGAAGAATCATGGGAAATGGCAGCCAGTGCAGATGAACCATGGTTACCTTTGGGTTTAGCATGTTGGTATGAGATTTAATATTTATATAGGAAATAGTCAAAACCTAACCAAAGGGAGATCCTATTCTGGCAGGTAACTTAGTAGGAACTTTTGTCTGGTTCCATGGAGAGGAGAGGAAGGGAGGGGAGGGGAGGGAAGGGGAGGGGAGAGGAGAGGAAAGGAGAGGAGGTGGCTGTGTTCTACCTTACAGCCAGTAGTCCCAGACTCCTGAACCATGAGCTCCTGAAAGCCGTGTGAGTTGAAGAGTGGACAAGGCACAGATGGTACCACGGTAGCAACAGTATCAATGGCAGCTCCAGTGTCACCGGGGGGTAATGACATCTAGAACAAATGCAGCACCAGTTCAGTCCATCACCCCACTGACTGCGTGTGAAAAATCTCTTCCAGTCTAGAGAACTCCAGACCCTTCATAACCTGCGCAAACTCTTCGTCCAGGATTTGACCACTCGGGTAAAAAAGGTGAGTCCTGTCACTTCTGAACAAATTGAGGAGAAAAGTTGGAGCCATGAGGTTCTTCGGTTGAAATAGCACTTGCTCAGATTAAGGCTGGTTATGTTTAAAAATTAATTGCCTCATGCCAGCAAAACCTTATTAAAAGAATGTGCTTCAGGGTGAAATTACTAAGGAATATTTTACCGTCTGATTTTCCTTCTTAGCAAAAGGAAGTTATAATGCTATCCCCTGGCTGGCCTTTATTTAAAATGGCATATATTTCTCTGGCCCCACTGTGTGAAAGTCACTGTTCTGGGCCAGAAAATTCTTGTCAAAAGACAGCATGGTCCCATAGTGTGCAGAAGAGAGATGGCCAGTGCGTCACATTTGTCTCTGCAGTGTGTGGGGTACGTTAGTATTGAGTTTGTACTTATTTCCCAAGCCACGACAGTAGGTTCTAGCATCCCTGCATTGCAGGTGTGGATCTAGGCTTGGGCATGATTGTGGGACTGAAAAGGGCTGGGCATAAGTCTGCAAGATCTCAGAATCATGTCATCTTCGGGAGTCTCCATGTTGCTGATTCAATAGGTCAGTTCAGAAACTTAATTGAGAAGAGAGAACACAGAAGAGGCATGGGAAGATTAAAGGCAGGGATTAAGAAAAGCATGCGCAAATGTTTAGCAAAGGCATATACATGTCTGAGTGTGAGTGCTTGTGTGTGTGTACTCGTACACGTGGGTGTGTTTGAAGGAGGAAAGGAGAAAAGGTCAGATATAGTGAAAAGGGAAGGATTGCCAGAGGCAGGTCCGAGAGAGACAGAATTAACAGCACAAGTGGATATCCTGCTGGTTAAAGAGAACGCACTGACTTCCCAGAGTTCAGAGAGAGTCAAGCTGCAAGCATTTGCAGGGAACTCCAGGACTGTGGAAAGAGGCCATATCTGATGGCTGGTGTCCTCAGGGGAGGAGGGAAGAGAAGGTGGAGCCCGGGGAGATAAGATTCAGCCAGCTGTGCATAGAATCTACTAGGGATAAGTGAAATGGGTTGCTAAACAGTGCAGTGCATGCCCAACAGGAAACACTGTGCAATTGGCAAGCACCTCTGACAGCATGGCTCCTGGGAGATTTTCTTTTTCTTTTTTCTTTCTTTTCTTTCTTTCTCTATTTTTTTTCTTTTGAGAATGATGATATTTTATTAGGAGAGCTCACCATCTTCACTATTTGAACCTTCAACAGACCATGACACCATAGTATACAATTGAAAGTAATTAGACCATGGTCACTAACCACTGAGGCCATACTGTACGTAGCTACAGTTGAAAGGAATCTGACCATAATCACCACAATTGAAAGGCCCTGGTCCTACATATTAAAGTTCCCAATTATCAAATTGATGAAACAATTAAAAAATATTTAAAAACACATGGTCCTCATCTTGCAGCCTAGATCTGGCCATGGTGCTTTACTTTGTTGCACTTTTATCAGAGTTCCAAAGCTGACCTGTCTCCATCTTTTTGTTGTTGTTTTGAATATTTTATTTACATTTCAGATGTTATCCCCTTCCCCCCCCCCAGAAACTCCCTATCCCATCCCCCCTCCTCCTGCGTCTATGAGGATATTGCCCCCACCTGCTCCCCACTCCCACCTCCCCACCCTCTAATCCTCTCACACTTGGTGTCCAGCCTTCATGGGACCAAGGATCTCCTCTCCTACCTATGGCCAACAAGGCCATCCTCCCCTACATAAACAGCTGGAGCCCTGGATCCCTCCCTAAGTGCTCTCAGGCTGGTGGTTTAGACCCTGGGAGCTCCAGTTGGTTAGTATTGTTGCTCACCCCATGGGGCCACAAACCCTCTCAGCTCCTTCAGTCTTCACTCTAACTCTTCCATTGGGAACCCCATGATCGGTTCAGTGGTTAGCTGTGAGCATCTGCCTCTGTGTATGTCAGGCTCTGGCAGAGCCTCTAAGGAGACAGCTATATCCAGGCTCTTGTGAGCATGCACTTCCTGGCATCCACATCAGTGTCTGCCTTTGGTGACTGCACATGGGATGGATACCCAGGTGGAGTAGTCTCCAGATGGCCCCTCCTTTAGTTTCTGTCCCACACTTTGTCTCCATATTTGCTCCCATGAATGTTTTGTTGCTCCTTCTAAGAAGGACTGAAGCACCTACACTTTGGTCTTCCTTCTTCATGAGCTTCATGTAGTCTGTGAGTTGTATCTTGGATATTGCAAGCTTTTGGGCTAATATCCACTTATCAGTGAGTGCATACCATGTGTGTCCTTTTGTTGGGTTATCTCACTCTGGATGATATTTTCTAGTTCCATCCATTTGCCTAAGAATTTCTCGTATTCATTATTTTTTAATAGCTGAGTAATAGCCCGTTGTGTAAATGTACCACATTTTCTGTATCCATTCCTCTGTTGAAGGACATCTGGGTGCTTTTCAGCTTCTTGCTATTATAAATAAGGCTGCTATGAACATAGTGGAGCATATGTCCTTGTTATATGTTGGAACATCTTCTGGATACAGAGCTAAACAAAGAATTCTCAACTGAGGAAACTTGAATGGCTGAGAAGCACCTAAAGAAATGTTCAACATCCTTGGTCATCAGGGAAATGCAAATCAAAACAACCCTGAGATCCCACCTCACACCAGTCAGAATGGCTAAGATCAAAAACTCAGGTGATAGCAGATGCTGGCGAGGATGTGGAAAAAGAGGAATACTCCTCCATTGTTGGTGGGATTGCAAGATGGTACAGCCAATCTGGAAATCAGTCTGCTGATTCCTCAGAAAACTGGACATAGCATTACCTGAGGACCCAGCTATACAACTCCTGGGCATATACCCAGAAGATACTGGGAGATGTTCAAAGCCTGGGTGGCAGTGCGCAGTGCACTGTATGAGGAACACACTCTACAAAGCACAATTACCTTGGGGCTGGCACCAGGGAGGAGGATGAGGCCAGGATAGATGTGATGGGAAGGAAGGGCACCTGATGAGAGCTTAGGAAACCAGTGAAGACGAGCCTTGTGACTCAGGAGAAGGGGGGTGCTGTCCAGAGGAAGGTTAAAAGGTGGAGTCAGATTCCCCTGACTTCATTTTATAAAACTTCCTAAGGATGACCTAGTTTTAGACTTCTGGCTGGTGGGCCTCTGGCAGCTACATTGGCATCTCCTGGGAATTTGTTTAAATACATAACACACCCCAGATCTGAGGAATCAGAGACGGAGGCGGGCTCAGCACTCTGAGTTTTAATAAGTGTCCTGGGCTCCTGATATATAATCATGTTTGAGAGTTCCTGTTTGGATCTGAATTGATGGTAGAAAGCATTACCCTGCTGGAGAAGGACGGTTTCTTCTGCTGTCACACCAGACAAGCATGTTTTGCTATTTTTGAACGTCAGGTTGTGTTTGCACATGCATTTCCTAATTTATCTGTGGCACCTTGCTTGTCAAGAGTGTGGAGCTGCTGCCAGTTTCAAGATCTGATAAATCTGAAGGATTTCCCCAGCACCTGGATGCTGTGACAGGGCTGAGCCTGACTCACTGAGGAGCTGCATAGCTCTGGGTGTTTAAGAGACAAGCAGAAGCTGTTAGACTCTCCCAGTGGCAACAATGGCTCCGGCTGTCAGGCTGGGTAATTTCTCGTCTGATCTTGATGGCTAAGCTGAACTCGAGTCTTATGCTTATTTTCACAGTGGATCTTCTTAATAAGTTGTGAGCTCTTTCTTTTGAAAAGAGAAATCTCTTTATCAGCAGGAGAGAGGAACATTTCATTAGAGAGAAATGTGTGTGCAGCATACAAAGGCAGATCTGAAGGCGTTCTTATTCCAGCATTCCAAAATAACTCCGTACAACACTTAAGTGGAAAGCAGGGAAATGTATCGGGAAGTCCCGAGTGGAAACTTTTACAACTGCTCTGCGTTTTCACTTTCAGACTGTTCTTTAGTTGAGGATTTTTCTTTTTCAAGAGCGTTACTGTATCTTGAACACTGGGTAGGTGACTGGGTTGTTGAATGGGAAGCGGGTCATGTCACTAACTGTCGTGTGTGGGTACAGAGTGTGGAGCTGGACAGCGACGATGGAGGGGGTAGTGCCGCCCAGAAGCAGAAAATCTCCTTCCTGGAGAACAACCTGGAGCAGCTTACCAAGGTGCACAAGCAGGTGAGTGAGCTCACTGCACCCTTCTCCAGCCTCTGCTCTCTCCTGGCACAGCTTTGGCTGCCACACAGAGAGAACAGTTCTGATATTGGATATCTGTACATGGTCAAAGAACATGTGTGCTGAAAAAATGCAAGTCCTCAAAACTCCCTGGATCTTAACAGGAACAGTGGTCCGAACCTGTATTCCTGGCTACTAAGGAGGTGGGGGGAATCACTCAAGACCAGCCTAGGCACCATAGTGAGATCCTATCTCCAAGTGACAAGAAGATGGTAGATCTAGGGGGAGTTAGGGTGAGGAGTGAGGGGTGGGTGTGATCAAAATACATTATGTAAGTTCTAAAAGAATTAATAAAACAGAAAGAAAAAGCCCATGCCTGTAGCCTCAATAACTTCCTTTATGTATGAAAAACTTCCTTTGGCTAACACGATAGCTCATTATGTAATCACGTGCTGCAGGATTGGTGAGCTGAGTTTGATCCCAAGAATCTCACAGAGTAGAGAAAGAAAACTGACTTCCCCAAGATGTCCTCTGACCTCTGCACTTGTGCTATAGAATACATGTGCCTGCATATACTCACATGAGGCAAGAATATATATACTCATATATTCTCATATATATTTCCATGTGTGTGTGTATATGTCTGTTTGTCTATCTGTCTGTGTGTGTGTGTGTGTGTGTGTGTGTGTGTGTGAGAGAGAGAGAGAGAGAGAGAGAGAGAGAGAGAGAGAGAGAGTCAGACAGACACTGAGACTGATTTTCTTTGATGGAATCCATTTATAGAGATTGAGCTTTCTATGCTATGGCTTGGAAAGAGTAAAGTACTGATCCTTGTGTCTCCATCTTGTTTTCATTTTACCCTTGGAATCTGAATGGCCATGTGCTCTCCCATGGCATCTCTTAGGCTTCTCTGTAGAACAGAAATCTCCACAGAGTGCATGTGCTGATCATGCTGGTTCAGGTCCCTTAGTTTACATCTAAGGAGACATTGCTTCATTTCACAGGCGGTGTGGTGGTTTGAATGAGAATGGCCCCTAGAGTCTCATTTATTTTAATGCCTAGTCGCCTGGGAGGCTCACTGTTTGAAAGGATTAGAAGGATTAGGAGATATATATGGCCTCATTGTATATACGTATGGCCTTATTGGATGAAGTGTGTCTCTGGGAGTGGACTTTAAGGTTTCAAAAATCCCATGCTAGGCCTAAGCTTTCTTCTGCTACTTGTGGATCAGGTTGTAGAACTCTCAGGTACTTCTGCAACACCATGTCTGCCTGCATGTTGTCACACTCCCCATCATGATGATAATGGACTGACATCTGAAACTGTAAGCAAGCCCCAGTCAATCACTTTCTTTGATAAGAGTTGCAGTAGCCATGGTGTCTCTTCACAGCAATAGAACAGTGACTAAGACAGGCGGGAACCCAGAGACCAGAACCAGCATCCTCTGAGCTCTGTTGTCCTAACTCCACCTTGGCCATCTAGGGTATCCCTTAGGATCATTACTCTGACATCTGTCTTGAGTGACAGAGAGGAATAAGTGTGTCCAGCAAACCGATGATTTAGGCAAGCCATTTGCCTCCCTTTTCCATAAATGCCAGCATGCCTGTGACTCTTCCCTCTTTAGGTTTGGTGTGGAGTACAAATGGTCTAATTCTTTGGGCTACATATCGCTTCTCTTGACATGCTAGATCTGTTTCCATAGGGCGGGTGATGACATTTTCCCCGGAGAGAAGATGGCAGATCAATATAGTGAAATCATTCAAGCAAATTGATAATGAGAAATACAGAAGCAAAGACTGCCAGGCATCTTGAAATCTGGCTCTGCAACTCATTATTTTATTCATGAATTCAAGGAATATTTATTAAAAGCCAAGTCTGCCAGGCATGGAGTTGTTGCTGGCATAAGCAAAATAGGTCAGAACCGCAGCAGCTTGCTTTGATAAAGCTTTTTCTGAGTTTTGATCCTTTCCCTGATCCATCTGGATTCCAGTAATTGTAACTGGGGTTTAAAGTGCAAAACCCTGGGTACTGTCTGTGGCAAGACTTGTGGCTACTTTGTGGGTTCTTTTTTCTTTCACCCTTTCAACCCCCAACACTAGATAGGAGAGAAAAAAGGAGAGAGGGGGAAGGGGATGCTGTTCTCTAGACTGCTTCCTGCTGATTAGGGGCATCAAGTTCCTTGGCAATTTTCGTCTTCATCGTCAGGATATCTAATTTCTTCTTGTTGTTTTATTTGTACATGACTGTATAACAAATTATAACCAACAGCATCCAACCAAAAACCAACAACCCATATGCCTTTTGGGGCCCTAGCATTTATATATCCTCTAAAAAGTTCCCAGAATTCCAAACAACACACACTTGCAGAAACTGTCTGCCCCTGGCAAAATCATGCCCCTGCTAGAGCTCGAGGCAAATCACAGTCAGCTGCTGTGAAGAAGCCCCATATCCCACATCTGGGATTAAAACAAAAACATTGTCTTATAATATTACTGGGGTGTTTTTGTTTTTGTTTTTGTTTTGAAACTAAAGTTCTCAGTACGTCTGGCAGCACTATCAAGCTAGGCCAGGCAGGTCCCAAGCATGATGATCTACAGGCAGTATTGGAGCCTCTCCTTCATGACTGTTCTCATCCTGGGGTGGGATGTTCTGCCTCTTACTTGGGGATAATGTCAGATCCTTGTTTTTATGAATCAGTCCTGCTGTTCTTGGAAACCCAAGATAATTCATGAGAAAAGATTAAGGATAATGTCTTATCTCTGTGCCTTCAGCCTTGAAGGGGGATGGATGATGCAAGTTAGGTAGGGGGCGGTAAACCAGGAGTCTGATCTAAAGAAAAGAAGCAGAGATAAAATGATGCCAGACTCCCATCCTCCTTTTGTAGTATCTCGTGGACTGTATCACTTACTTTTCTCATCCTTGTGACCGAATACCTAACAAGAAGCACCTTTAGGGAAAACAGATTTGTTCTAATTCACAGTTTGAAAGTATGATCCATCACGGCAAGGAGTGCATGGACACAGGATTAGTTAACAGCTCTGGGGTATTACTAGAGTTTTTAGGGTACAAGCCTTTGATCCTAACAAGCTAAGTTCAGCCACTGCCATTGATGATACCAATTAAAATGATGCGTTACAGTGGAAAGCAGAGAGACGATTCTCCAGTGTGACCACACTGGAAAGAGGAACAAGCAGGGAGGTTCAATGACCTCAACTTTGTCTTTGGAGTGTGTACATGAGGTTTAGATTTAAATTACAGTCAAGAGGGATATATAACTAAGCTGCCCTTGTCAAGATATGGTCCTACCCATCACGGACAATTATTGTCTCTCTCTCTGTCTCAGCTCTGGTACGTTTTGCAAATTGTTAAAACCACATGAAATCATTCCCTGAGAAACAAGAGCCTCCTCTGACTGGCACCAGGCCTTCAGCCTTTCTATTTTTCCAATGTGAAATTTCTCGGGATATTCTAATTCCTTGGGGACCATTGTCTCAATAGTCTAGTAACCAAAGGAAGGGATACAAGTGTCTCTCGTTAGGTCTTAGCTCCTGCCAGGGTAGCTACAGGGGAAGGAATTTGCTCACAATCGGGCAGATCAAGAGACAGAGTTGAATGCTGATGTTCATCAGGCCCTCTTTTTATCACGTTTTCCTCAGTCCTGCATCTTCTAGGATTATGATGCTCACCACTCAGGGTGGATCTTCCCTCCTTCCACCTCTCTGGAAGGTTAAGAACTTCTCTGGAAATTGTCAAAGATATACCTGACAGCCAAGTTGACAATTAAGCATCATAAGTCTACTACCTGTCAACTGAACACCTTAAACCATCTATCTATCTATCTATCTATCTATCTATCTTTCTATCTATCTATCTATCTATCTATCTATCTATCTATCTATCTATCTATCTATCTTATTGGGGTTTTTTTGAGACAGGGTTTCTCCGTGTAGCCCTGCTGTCCTGGAACTTCATCTATAGACCAGGCTGGTTTCCAACTGAAAGAATCACCTGCCCTTGCCTCCTGAGTGCTAGGATTAGGTGTGTGCCATCAACTTCCCTGTGAAGTTTATTTTATTTTTTTAATTTATTTTTAATTTATGTGTATGGGTGTTTTGCATGTATATATGTCTGTGTGCCATGTACATGCCTGGTGCCCAAGGAGGCCAGAAGAAGGTGTCAGATTCCCTGAAACTGGAGTTACAGACAGTGTGAGACACTATGTGGGTTCTGGGAATTGAACCTTGTCTTGTACAAGAACAAGTACCCTTAACACTGAGCCAACTCTCTAGCCCACTGATCACCTTTAAACCAAAACATTACACCTCTGGTCCTTAAATATTTGTAGCTATCTTATGACGCAAAGTGCATTTAGTTAATCTCCAGGAATCCTCTAAGTCTTACCAACACCAACATTGTTGAAAACCCAAGTGTGTTGTCTGCCCTGAGACTCAAGGTAAAATTTTAACTGTGAGCACCTGCATGGGGAACAACACAACCAACAAAATGGTATGTGTGTTTCTAATATGCAGTGGCACAGAGTCAACATTTCTAAAAGAAAACACAAGGGGAAAGCATAAAAAGATTGGATCAAATCAAGTTAGCAACCCAGCAGGGCAAACACCAAACCCTACTGCTTCATTTCCAGCATCTTGGGTTTGTGATAGCATCATCTATGCTCTAGTTGGCTTGTGTAGCCACGCCCCTCAGGCTCTGTTGCCATGGATACCTGTGGCTCTCTCTCTCTCTCTAGGGCTGGCTGAACTCAGTGCCTGCACAGCTATCGCAGCTTACTTTTTACCGTCACAGCTTCATGCACACCTCACTCATAAGTTCCACGCAGGTAATCTTTCTGTGATACACACTGCCAGGCCTTAGTGGCTCTTTGGAACACTGGTGCAAGCTTCTGTGACACCTCCCCTCTGTTTTGGATGCTACATGCCTTTAAAATTAGTATCATGTGAATGATACAAAGTTCTGCTATCCACTCAAAATGTAGCCTTGCCCCATGAGACCCCAGCTACAATGTTCTTTGTGTGTCTTCCAGGCTGAGCCTGAAAAAACACTTCCCTACATGGCCCTACATGATCAGTCCGCCCAAGAAGCTGTGTTAGTTCAAGTACTCTATTTCAAAGGAAAGTTTTCCAACCATGTTTGTGGGTAGGGTGAGGATCTTTCCCTAAAGGCAACTTTTCTTCTGTCCGATTTCCAGTGTTTGAAGTTTCTCCTTGCCAGCTTTAATCCCTGTAACAGTTGCAGCCATCTTGTCCAAACTGTAAGCTCCTGCAGCTCCTCTCCTTGCCAGACTTTTCAGATCTTTCCACTCCTTGTCACTGTAAATCTAAGAACAAATAACAGTAACCGTGCCACAGCCAGAATCTTAAAACTGTCTTGAAATGTTCTTCCCAAATTAATTTGTCCGTAACTTTTGGATTTAGCTCTGCTCAAGATTTCAGGGCTGAGGCTACAGATCACTGTCGCTGGCGTCCAATGGGGCAAGGCTACATTTTGAGAGGATACAATACACAGAGAATACAGCTAGATTTTTTTTCTTTTTGCCATTCATGTTATAACATGAATGATCTCTAGGTTGGTTCCCAACAGAGTCCAGATTACTCATGTCACTACATGAGCCTGGCCGTCACTGTCCTCCTTTCTGTTGGCATTTTCCAAACTCCCACAAGAATAGTTCACTAAGCTCTGCTTATGGCACCAGAGGGCCCCTTAAACTTGCAGGTCTACTGCAGGGCTCTTCCACGTTCCTCATATAAACTGACCCTAAGGTCCAGAAGGCTTCTTACAGAGGTGCCTTCCCACTCTGGGTCCACTCTTCTGTATTTGTAACTGTTTTCATTTCTTTGGCCAAATACCTGACAAAAAAGAGGTCAAGGGAGGAAGGCTTGAGGCCATGGCTTGAGGGTAGAGTCTCTTAAAACAAGAAAAGCATGGTGGAAACTGGCTTGTGACTGTGCTGGAAGGGGTTTATTCACATTTAGGTCTATCAGGAAGCCGAGATGATGAACACTGGTGTTCATCCAGCTTTCTTCTTTTCCCTTTTTCTTTAACCTGGGACCCCCCAGCCTCTGGGATGACTTTGTTCACACTCGTGGTGGCTCTTCTCCATCTGGAAAATGTCCTCAGAGAGCCCCTTAATGTCACCTTGTATGTGATTCCAAATAGGGTTGTGTTGACGATGAGAACGAGCTACCACAAAGTTCAAGTGAAGCGTCAATACTGTTTAGTGGGAGCAGTTTCTAAGTGACTGTCTCTTTTGTTTTGTGTATGCAGCACCCAAGACTCAGAGTGACTCAGCTCCTTTCACCAAGTCAGATGGCAGGAATAATAGGACTGGAGCCTACCATTTCCTAGGGTCCTCAGTAAAAAGAACAGTCCCCTCCTGTCTCCTGCGAGCCTCTGGATATGTCACAGAGCTGAGTTTCAACCCAATGCCAGTACAGACCATGGTCTGCAAGGTGCGCAGAGGACTCTGGAGTGTGCCCATTTACAGACTTGGAATTTCTCAGCTCACAAGTATATCCTATAGTAATAAATTCCTCACAGACTCTTTCCTTCCCAAACATATTCAAACAAAAAGAGAAAGCTTGTCCTGTCCCAGAATAAACCTACCCTGTGGCTGGACATGGCTTCTACTTTTATGTATCCCCTCATTACTGCTCCTGTGAGTTGGGGTTACATGGACCATCAAAGGCAACCTCGGAGGTTCGGATCAGGGTTGTCTCTCTTCCATGTCCTTGTCCCGCCAGAGAGTAGCACAGCCTTGCTCAAAACTGGCTTCTTTGCCTCTCTGCTGCAGCTGGTCCGGGACAATGCGGATTTGCGTTGTGAACTCCCCAAGCTGGAGAAGAGGCTCCGTGCTACTGCAGAGCGTGTCAAGGCTTTGGAGAGTGCACTGAAAGAGGCCAAGGAGAACGCCATGAGGGACCGGAAGCGCTACCAGCAGGAAGTGGATCGCATCAAGGAGGCTGTGCGAGCCAAGAACATGGCCAGGAGGGCACATTCGGCTCAGATCGGTATGTGTGTGCCAAAGGATGGGAGCTACAGTGACCTTATTTGGGATTTCACTCATCTGAAAGGATAGGATAGAGCCAATGGGACTTGGTCTTCCTGGCAAGCTGGTGTTCATCCTGGGAAAGCATGAGATGCAGACATCACTGTCCTCCTGAGCATAGCGTGTTCTTCAGAATTGTGTGCTAAGCCTCAGAAACCAGCTGTGCTGGAACTTTTGGCTGTAAACAGAGGCGCACTCTTGGAAATAGTATAATATATGAATATATAACCATGAAGAATACCATCTGTCTGCCTCAGGGAAATCCTCTGGTTTAAAAATAACTGCAAAGAGCTAGGCTGGCAGCACTGAATAGTGTTGTTGCAAGCTGAATGGTAACCTGGAGTTCAAGCCGCAAGGCCTATGGAGTTGGACACTGCTCAGACACAAATGGTGACGGTGGCTGTTCCGTCATAGGTGCCAAGCTAAAGCACCTTTGTGTTCCCACATTAAAGATCCCTTAGATTAGCGATATATTGAATTTATTTGGTTTCTTACCCTTTGAGAGTCTACTGAAAATTGTGGCCTCTTTTTCTAGAAAGCTCATCACAGGTAGAATTATTGTGAAATCTATAGGGAACTTTGGATTTACTGCAGGTAAAAACCAAAGTCCTTTGCTTCTAATATTTATTTATTTATTTATTTATTTATTTATTCATTCATTCATTCATTCATTAATTCATTTAAAATTTTCACCCTTAAAAAATAGAATGACTAGAAGCTGGAGAGATGGCTCAGCAATTAAGATTACTGGCTGTTTTTCCAGAGGACCCAGGTTCAATTCCCAGCAACTACATGGCAGCTTGCAACTGTCTGTAACTCCTGTTCTAGGGGATCTGACACCCTTGGCCAGACACACATGAAGGCAAAACACCAGTGTACATGAAATACAAATAAATTATTAAAGAAAAAAGAATCTTTTGTTTTTAAAAAGAAAAAATATATAAGTAATATATAAGTTCTCTCTGTTCCCTGAATTATGTGGGTGCCCTTAGTTTATTTCTCAGAGGCCAGACCTGCTGTTCCCAGGAAGGTCTGGCGGTTGGTAAACAGTGCAATGTTGATAAACGCATGACTGGTTGTCACCAATGATGTTCTTCTCTCTCCTTTCTCTGGGATGTAGCCAAGCCCATCCGCCCAGGACATTATCCAGCATCATCTCCAACAGCTGTTCATGCAGTCCGAGGAGGAGGAGGTGGCTCTTCAAACTCTACTCACTACCAGAAATAAATGCAGTGTGAGTCCTGCAGCCTGGGGTATTTTCTCTTCACAGCAGCCTCAGGGCTTATAGCCCTCTTGCCACTCTGAAACACATCCCCCACGACCCCCCCCACCTTCAGCCATATTCTCTAATAGAGATAAGTTCAGCTGTGTCCCAGGAAGAGGCCTGGGATCCAGGTAAGAGAAATCTGGGCCTAGCTTTGCCAGAACATACAGCCAAAGGGATCCTCTAGCCAAGGGTCCCGGGGGTTGATACAACTCTGAGCCAGGCCTGGCCTAATCACCTCTCAGGTTGATGAGTGCTTCATCTGGGGTTTGGTCTGTGGGACTTCCCTCTGCAACTTGTATTTATAAAGCAAGACAGAAGTAGGTGGTGGCTTTAAGTCTCCGGACTACAAAGATTAGGCAACAGTCATGTTTTTATCCTTATTGTGAGCCTCGATGAGTGAGGTTTTGAAGAATGTGTGGTTTATATTCAAGTGGGGCTAGACCACTTTTTCTTTGAGACAGCGGTCTACCCCAGTTCCTGCAACTCAGATGCTCAACATTGCTCTGGCAATAAAAGAGAAAGGTGATATGCTTTTGGAAGAGGAAGAGGAAAAGTTAAGCCTGTCCTTAGTAACTGAATAGAGAAAGAGACTCCCAGTCGGGCTGGCAGTGGACAGTAGAGGGCTCAAAAACTAGGTTGAGAATACCTCACACTTGGAGTATGTGGATGGGAAGGGATGGTCACGAAGTGACTCCTGGCCTCTGAGCCCTCATTAGGGAGGCTAGCTGACAGAGCAGCGGAGCATCTATCAAGGGATGCCTGGGTGATGGAGAACAACTGAAGATTACCTGGATTTATCCAGTGCTCTTTGAATTGGCATATGAAGTGAGTGGTCCAGTGCCCTCAAACAGTGACAGCATTGCTAAGGCCCAGCTGAAAGCCTCAGGAAGGGTACGTCCATAGCTTTACATAAACAGCATAGAATTAGCCAAGGTCTGGTCAGATGAGTGGGAACTGGAGGCAGGGCTAGGCAATCTGTACTGGGGCAACACACCGAGAGTATCACCGTATCTCAAATGAGTTTGCCAGTAAGCCACCCATTCTTGTCCAAACTGTGCTTCCAGTCCAAAATAAAATCAAATTGGATATTACTGATTTTTTTTTTTTATTACACGTTGTCAGGACCAAGGACAAAATCTAAAAGGTAGTTATTTAGGGTAGTTTAGCAAAAAGAAAACAAGGCCTGAAATTCTTATGGGGGCTGGAGGCAGAGAACAGGGGTGGGGTGTGCACTTAGCATGTATGGGACCTGGGTTCAGTACAACACAACAGTAATAAAGGTACCAGCTTAGGTAGGTAAAGGTAGCGCCTTGAACAACAGGCCAGGCTACTAGTGTGGTGGGGCCTACCTGGGCCTCTCTGTTTTTACCAAGAATGGCCAGTGGTTTTGATATCCAGCAAAAATGTAATACCTGCTTCTCTATAGTAACCGGGGCTCATATACAATTAGTTTGTTTCTCATGGGAAGGAAGTGTAAGGGCTGGGAATAGTAAGGTCCACAGAGAACACAGAAACTCAGACTGTTAGACTATCCTTTGTGGGTGCTCCTTTCCTCGGGGTCAGTTCATGGTCTCCAGAATGACTTCTGCTGGACCTTCTTTCCAGGAGTTGTATCCCAAGAAGAAGCCAGGGCAAGACCAAGGCAGCTCTCCTGGCCACAGTAGCCTCCCTCAGAGTACCCATGAAAAACTGATGTCTACATCTCCATGACTGGATCCGAGCATGGCCACATAGGAGACTAGAAAAAGCAGCTTTATCTGAGTACATTGATGCTCCAAAGGGAAGTTATATCGTTGTGAGCATATACCTACAGCCATACCCTAATCAAGGAAAGATCATGTCTGACTCCTGGTTTTAGAAGATTCAGTGTCACAGAAAGGAAGGTGGTAGAAACAGCTTAGTTCCTGGAGACAGGAGCTCTGTACATCATGTAGGACCAGGAAGCAGAGAAGTCGGCAGGAAGAAGAGCTGGTGGGGGCGGGGGGAGATGTCAAGGGCCTCACCTTCTAATAGTTCACACTGTATCCAAATGCTATTACCAACTGAGGAACAAGAGCTTACCAAGTGTAAGCTAGGGGAGAGGAGTTAGACTGCAACAAGACTCATGTTTTAGGAGAATAAAGACAGATGGTGGGGTGGATACTTAGCAGTCTGGGCAACATGCAGTGTGTAGGTTGTCATTTGATGAAAGCACACTGTGAGTTCTGACCTTCCAGCAACTCCTTAGTAAAATCACTGGACCAGGAATTCCAGACTATGTATTGAGTAGGCGCCTTCCTCATGGAATTCAGTAAAACTCTACCAAACCAGTAAGTCCAGATTGACCTGGAACTCTCTATGTAGCCTAGACTTGCCTTGAACACACAGCAGTCTTCCTGCCTGAGCCTCCTCAGTGTTAGAATCACAGGTGTGAGCTACCACAGTAGATTTAAAACTCACATTTTGTGTAAGGTGTGTACAACCAAAGGTTGATTGACACTGATATGACCTCTTATATTGAAGACTGAAAAGTCACAACTTCTCTGACAAACATGGTACAGTGCTCCAAACCTTTAATCCAAGTATTTGGGATATAGAACCAGGAATATCAGCAATTCATGGTCATCCTCACATCGTTAACTATATATTGAGTTCCAGACTAGCCTGAGATACAGAAAGCCTTTCTCAAGGAGAACAAAAATCAGAACTGAAGAGAGTTTCAGAGCCTTGAGAGAAACAACTGTAAAAATTCATTTTGTACTCAGTGAGTTGCAAAGTGGTTTATGATGACTTGAGCTGAAATTGAAGCCCCTTAAGCATACTTTATCCACCCAGTTCCCATAGCTGGGTGCTTTCTGTGTAACTGGTAAATTTCAGGGACTTCTTGAGATTTGTGAATTGTTCACATACTAAATGTTAATCAGCTTCCTGCAAGGATGGAATTCAGAGGAAATTGCTATATAACATTCCATGGCTTCCTCTGGCTCTTAACAATTCTTTCTGTTCTCTTTTCTGTGATGACCCTGAACCTCTGAGGGGGTTACCTAGATGTCTATCTAAGGCCAAGCATTAAGCTACTATACCACAGCAACAGTATGTTGTCCTTACGAGCTTCACCAGAGATTTTGAGTTTCTGTAGTGTGCCATCAACTGCGAAAGGAAGTTTCCCTCTATGACCAACTTCTGAGAGCAACAGTGACCCACAGGCACAGATATTTAGAGGGCAGTTTGACAGCCACATCATATATCTTTAATAAAAGCATGGCAGCTATTTTCCACTGGGGCCTGTGGACATACCCAGCCTCAGATTTTCCTTGTCTCTTACAGCACCAGAAGTGAATTCTCCCCTATAGAGTTAGGGTTTAAATCTAGTTGGAAAGCACTTGGTCATACCCCAAGCCATCCGTGCCGCTATTGTACCTGTAGTCACATCTTGCTTGGCATTTTGATGGTGTAGCATACAGGGTCCAGAAGGACTGTTGGTGACGACTCTCCCCCCAGCAGCCTGTGTGGCACCTTGCAGCATCATGAAAGCCAGCCAGCAAGGGGGGAAGCCTCCACTTCAGTCCCGATCCGATTTTTCTATTTTGTAATCAATGCATGCACCCTGTTTGCCAGTCAAGTCTCAGCATTTAGTCATTTAGTTCTGGCATGGAGGCAACAGCCGTGGCAATGGCCTTTTGCTATTTTGCCGGATGGGGAGGTGGAATTCTCTGTAGCAGACAACTCCTAGAGTGTTAGCCCTCTGCTGGGACTGAAATTTTTCACTGTGATTATGTAACAGTATTTTGGCTTCTAGGAGTGTTGTCTCCTGCTCGTGCAGGATGCCGTCATGTAAGCCAAACAGCTCCCGTAGCTGTTCTCCCACATGCTTTTATAGCTCTGTAAGACACTCTAGAGTTGGCGTTCTATAATGAAACCTTTTTACGGAGAGTGGGCAGAGCCTCTGAAAGGACCATTGGCATCCATTTCAAGTAGTGCCAGTGGTCTTGAGCATAAGGGCATACTAGAAAAGGAACCCTAACAAGATCTAATACAGCACGAAAAGATCTCATCACATTTATACATGATTTCTTCAGAAGTGCAATGTTAGAAGCTAGGCGTGCTGGTACATATTTTCAATCCCAGCACTTAGGAGGCAGAGGCAGGCAGATCTCTGTAAGTTTGATGCCAGATTGGTCTACAAACTGAGTTCTAGGACAGCCAGGGCACTTTCACAGAGAAACTGTCTTAAATAATAAAGAAGCAAACGAACACCGCAGTGTTAGGTATAGTGGTGTGGAGGGGGACACTATCCCTTTAGCCCTCTGTAATCTGTAAACATTACCCTCGAGACATCTGGTGTCACACTCCGCTGTCACAGGGCTGCTGTTCATCTCTTTACCTGTGCTGTTGTTGATGCGGCCAACTTAGGGCTTAGTCCAAAGGGTTGCACTCTGTGCCAGCTGCTGGAACCGGCCCCTGGGCTCAGTAGGCTGCAGCATGGCACTGTGGTCCGTGGCGTGCCTTTTCACCAGTCTGGACTAGGTAAGTAGTCTGCACCTTAGCACATTAATATCGCATACTCTGCTCACCCCAGGTTAGTCTTTGTCATCTATGTTATTTTTATCACTTATGACCTTTGTGAACTACTGGTCAGACTTTAAAGGCTTTTAGAAGCCTAGCAGCACAACATTGGCTAACACAAATCTTGCTACCATTGCTGGCCCCTGAAGATCACCTCCATTTTGCCTATTTTTTCATCATCTCTGTTGACTTTGCTGTTGTGTTTTATGAAACCAGTTTACGTGTTGGTGGTGTTCTGATCTCAGAGCCTCTCTTACATCATAAAGGTCACATTGGTGCTCAGCAAAGCCACCCAAGCCCCCTGCTCTTCCCGGGGTCTCCAATGAGTCAGACTCTTTTGTAATTTTGGGTAAATAGGCCCACCAGGCCCGGTGAGCCAGGCATCAACACTGTCTCTCCCAAGCTGATCCTCTCAGTGACTA